TCAGCCCTAAGCTGACAGTGTTCTGGAAGCTATGTGCTTCTTGGGCCAGAAACATGCTCGTCACTCAACGGGTACTTCGAACGGCTTGGTTGTTACGTGCTGACACTATTGACACCACCACAACGCTGACAACGCCACCAAGGGCAAAGCTCATAACCACGCCAGCCTTGCTACGTCACCAATGCGGGGAATCTTTTCCTTCCGTTTTTGTTTGCGCGGGATATCCCATGACGCATCGCGCTCTCCGTTCACTTCTCTTTGAGCGCTTGCTTGAGTGCACCGTTTGGAACAAAAAATATAGCCAGTCGTTTAAAATACAAACGTGTGATTATCATTTACAGTTATTATCTGTCATGCTTGACTCATTTCCGAACGAAATTTGAATATTTCTATTTTTGTACCCCTTTAATATACGATAGATCCTTGCCTGGTTTGTCAAATGGTTGGCGTGCAATATTCGCTGCAGAAGAAGTGATGAAAATGTCTTTAATTTATTATATTGTGAAAAAATTTTATATAGAGCTGAAAAGATTTTTTTTTTTTTATTATGAAAATATTAATGTTGTTAAGGGGAGGCATGCAAATTTACAGCTGATGAAAACTGTGCCAAACGAACTTAACTTAAAAAACTTTACATAGAATTACCCCTTCCCTATTTTGAATTAAAAGATTTATAATGTCTTTCTGTACCTCACGCACTATTGTATCTTCAAGCAAATATTCTTTATTTGGAGATGAACAGTGTATTTGTGTATTTTATACGCATTCCCCTGCACCTTGATGTTTGGCTCGGTGGTTGCGAAGTTCTTTTAATCGTCATTTTAACACAATCGTCATGACCAGTAACCTGCCATCTGATCTACACGAACGCAGTTCATTCCATTCTATACTTTTCATTGTTTACGATAATCACAGTCTACATGTCTTAGGTCCCAGCCCAGCATGCACATGTTCATCGCTTTGGAAGGCAAGCAATGTATGTGCCACACGCACGAACGCTGAAAATGGCATCGACCAGAAGCGCTTTTCAGAAATGGTTTACAGATCTTTTGCTAGATTACTTAAGCACCAAGGAGCATATTCATGCCACAAGAATAGTCACACGTGCTGACGCCTGCAACAGTAACTTTTCAAAAGAAAATCTAAAACAAATGGCACGTTCCTTCAGGTCATATGAGCGTGTGGGCATCTGTACCCACATTCCGAGCATTTTCCGCAGTGCTTTGGCAATTCACAAAAATTTTATTGCGCGACTCTTCTACCTTTCTTCACCAGCCATCTTCTAATAAAAAGAGAATGGATTTACCAGCGATATCACGAAACTAGAGAGGCGCGGCTTGAGCGTAGCAAGTTGCAAAAATGGTTTTATGAAATTGTAATTGCTAGTTTTTCTTTTACTTTCTTATAGTTATGCACATAGACCAAGGCCATACTTTGTGCAAATACATATAATTATCAACTCTAAACAGCACGAACGCCCAGATTTTTTTGCTGTTAGACGCGAGAAAGGCGGGCGCGAGTGTACTCGATTGCCGGCCGCACGCCTCGCTGCACAAAGTGACGTGACGCTTGGGCGGCGGGGAAAACTGGGGAAAAACTAGGGAGAATGATGTTTCGGTTAACTAGAGTGAATCTGGGAGAATGAGATAGCATTTCGGAATCAGGAAGCCATCCGCATTCAGATTATGCCCTTGGACTAGGTAGCTCGAAAAGTCGGAGTTCTCCTTTAAAGGGGTACTCCGGCATTTTCTCCATTGTCCCCGATTTGCCTAAAACCTTGCTTAACACACCAACGAACATCGCTAAAATAGTAACCCAAATATTTGGCCAAAATAACTTTTTTTCGCGAAGTTACAGAATTTACAATTAGGGTCATCATCGTGTTCTTCAAAGTGAAAAGCTCTACTGGCAACATTGAAATAGTGACATCATGGGAAGGCAGGGGTTCACTCTTTGGGCTGTAGACTTTGTTTTCAACTGACCACAAACAGTTTCATGGCGTTAAAAGAATGTTTTGGAAGGTTGCTCCAGCTCCCGCGCAGCACGAAACAAATGCTCAGCATAGTTCATTTCTAGACAGCCCGCTCGAACCGCAAGCCTGCCATCCCGTGACGCAGGCACGTAGGCAGGGGGGGCCATGGGACCTGGGCCCCACCCCGAAATCTTCCATTTTGCTGGGGCCTCCTCTCCCCCCTTGCCCTCATACAGCACTTTGTCATAAACAAGCCCCCCCCCCGAAACAAAATCCTGGCTACGTGCCTGCCATGATGTCACGGCAATGAAAAGCGAAAGTATACCGTAAAATACCGTGCGCATCCGCCCATTCCACATTAAGCGCCCATTACCAAATTTGTGAGATCTGAGCAAATATGTACAGTACATTTATATGTAAAATTGATGACCGGACAAGTGCCCATCCCCCATTTTTTTGCGATTATCTCCAAAGTTTGAGTAGGCGCTTTCCCGGTATTTTACGGTATTTGAATTTTGGTATTGGCGTCATTTTCATTTGCCGATTTCATAATAATTATTTTGAGTTTCGTGATAGTAAATAGCATACCGGAAAGAGTAAAAGATGGCGATTTCGAAAATGTGGTTAGGTGGGGTTGCCCAAAAAATCGCTGGATTTTTTAAGCAGGTCTTTTTTCTGCCAACACGACAGTGGTAGGAACATTACCTGTGTCGAGCTAGAGAAGCCATATTGGGGGCTACCCCAGCTACGTCCACACTGGCTTTCATGGCAGTTATGTGTGATGCAGACAGCTTTCACTATTTCAACCGAGTGCCTTGGCAAACACAGAAGCAGCCACATAAGACAATCAGGAAAAGACGCCGAGTTGTACAGGCTAAGGAGGAAGGACATAGTGCAGCGAGCTATCTAGTCCAGGCTATTCCTCTGAGAAATGCAGTCGGTGGAAATGTAGGTCAGTTATTCCCGCCATTAATTTAGGTAACTAATGCAAGCATTACACTATTTTGCATATTTCTCTACTGCAACGCTAGTCATCCGCAGCAGAAACAACGCCCCAAACTAAAAAGAAGTCTCATTGCATTGTTAACACAGACATCAAGTCCATTAGGAAAGGCCAGCTGTGCCATCCACCTGTTCATAAGCGAGCTGGAGTTCATCAAAACACAACCGAGAATCTCTTGGAAGTACTTGGTTCCTTTTCAGTAGTTATTGAATGAAAGCACAGTGCAGTGGTGATTACCATCAGCACAGCCTTGCCACTGGCACTGCTGTCCCTCGAATGGCACATGCACGACATGGCCTGCAAGCCACATATATCCCTAAAAGAAAGCTGCATAGGATGCACTTACCGTGGCTAGCGTCGCCACCCAGCGAGCTTGCACAAACCCTCTGCATGGCACGCAGTGCTGTTCAGAACAGAGCGGCACTGGCTAGCCAGTTAATGCGAAGGCTTGTAGTGTCTTGCCGCTGCCTTGGCAAAGCTGCAAGTCACCTCTTTCACGCCTTGTGGTGCTCATCAGCTTCAAAAGAAACGGTGTTGAATCGCGACCGGCTATAACCTGTCGCACAAGGGAGAAAAGGGTGTGAATGTGCAGACTCCTATCTGTTTGCTTTTGTCTAGCGTGTGAGTTTTTTTTGAGAAGAAAACAACAATGACACTTCTTTCACAGTAATATGCAAAACAAAAACGAGAACGGCTCGGGTATTAATAAGTTGTGTGCAGCAGAGGCACGGGTGCGAGGGCGTAGCTCCGCAGAATGTTCTTTTTGCACGGCTGCTCGTGCAAAAAGGGCGCTTTTGTGCTCGGGCCTGTGCCTTTTCTGCACACAACGTATGTTACAGAGAGTATAGCACGCCTTCGAGAGCACTCGCGTGCGGCGAGAAATCCATCATATACAGGGTACGATCGCAGGAAACCTCGCAGGGGTGCAGGAAGCTGCAAGTGCACGGTGCACCAGAATGTGAAACTAGAGGTGGTAATAGTATTTCACAGTTTGAGAATATGACGTTACTTGACGTAACTGCCTTACCGGCGGATGATAAGGGCCATCGGAGCACGACCAACTATTTGTTGTGATCGGGGCATTCGATTGGACGCGGGTTGGTAAAGATTTGAAAAACACGAAAGAATAAAACATGTAGGGACGAAGACAGCCAGCGCAGTTCTTTGTTGACATGAAATGTAAGATCAAGCACATTATTCTGTCGGATCAAATGGTTTTGTTGAATTAGGTTTAGCTCGCAAGTCAGCCGTTCTTCGGCGGGCTTTCAGCTTTCTGCGATGGTTGTTTTAATCGTGAACGCAGGCTCAAACAATGTAGGCAGCGGCGCCAAATAGATCTGAAACTAAGAAACAGCTCGGACGCGTGGAACGAACACACACAGAGATCACATCACAGGAAAACTCAAACCACTCACCTTTCGTTCGACGACGGTACGTCAGGCACGATGTTTCCGATGTTTCTCCAGGCGTTGAGGAGACCGCGTCTGTTTCCGTGCTCCTATTGGTCGTGATGTCACCAAATTTCATCCAATAAAGTGCGCGCCGAAGTTTTCTCTAGTCGCCGGTATAAAACCGAACCGGTCGAATTTGGTGAAAAGTTTGAAGGTTCGTCGAACCGGTTCGACCCAGTCGAACCCCGAAAGTTCGACCAAAAAATCTGGTTCGACAAAAGTTCGCGACACCCCTAGTTATGATGGCTATTACAGGTGACTATCATTGCTAATTCTTCTGCCGTACCTTCGTCAAGGTCGCGAAGATCTGACAAGTTCCATTGGTGTGACGTCAAAGAGCTAAGGAAGACGCGTTTTCTTTGCTAACTGACAAAGTCATTCGTCAAGCATCTGAGCATTCGTGTCTTTTAATAAATATTTTAAAACTAATATAATTTGTGTATTAATTCTTTTATGGTTTAATACTTACAATAAAACAATAAACCAACGCAATAAACACTGATTTCGGCGAAAACATGAGGAGTAACAGCTTACTAGCGTCCTCTGTAGAAGACGAAAGGTCGTGTAAGTAAAGTCAGAAGGGTCGGTCCTTACGTGCTTGGGGGATTGTGGTGCTTCGAGATGTAAACATTTTTGTTGTGTGCGACACTATTTTGTCATTATCTCAAGCAGCACCAATATCACGTAAGTATTACTCTCATTTCGAATTAGCGTCGACGTTGCACGTTTGTGCAATTTGATCGGAGTTCCACGGCGAAACACGTCGTCTTCTCACAGTCCCTCGAATGCTACGCTTTACAAGTTTTGTCCTGTCGCCTCTTCGGTTTCGTCGTTCACCGCAATCTTCTATCATTAAATATTTTCGCCTTTTTAAAAATCCTTGCGTACCTAGTGTCTCGCATTCCCGTTGAGCGCGTTAGCGAAATCAGATTAGCGAAGATTCAGACGGTTGCAACGATAATGGGCAAAACAAATAAAACTTTTTTTTTTTGCTGATGATCTTCCGTCAGGCGCGGAGCGTTGTTTCCCGTAGAGGGTCTGTAAGCTGGTAATTAGGGATCCTGAACAAGCCATGCGTAGTCCTAATCCGGTTTACTAAGGCGTACGACTACCGGGACCCTCCGATTCGAACCCGGTGCAAGGACGTGGGAACTAATTTTGCGACCTCAGGTGCTGAACGCCTGCTGGTCTGGAGCGGGAGTGACGCTCAAGAGTTTAGAATAAAAGGAGGTAGTTTCAGTTCGCATTTTTTTTTTTTTTTTTTCGGTTTGCGAAGGGGAGAGTAGTTTCAGTTTGCAATTTCACTTTCAGCCGAATGCCGCCCTGACCGGAAAATGATGCAGGACCTCTTGAAAGTGTTACCTGATGACCTGCCCATAACGGATGTGTGCATCTTGGAGGATCCACAAAACTGCCCGCCGGGATACCATGTGGTAGGGGAGAGACGGTCGTGACTGCTCTTTCACGTTTGTGCACCTGACCTGTTTTTGTTTCTTCTGTGTCTCATGACTGTTTACGTTTAGGTTGACAAAACGTTTGACCAAGACACTGATGCCGACCTGTGGAAAGATGGCTTTTTTGGACGGCGCATCACACGTTACATCTGCTATTCGAAGGCCCAGGTATGTCCTCAACATTCCTTGGTCCTTTACGTTGTGAGCAGGGCACGTCATTTGGTCCAATATACCAATGGCTTCGCTACGAAAGGTATCCCCTGTTGTTTTGATCTGGAATCTTGGCTAATGGATAGGAATAACTATCTGCATGTACAAAAGAAGTTCAGCCTGACATAAATTGCCAAACTGCACGACTGAGTGAACTGTTGCAGTGACCCCAATTATTAGCACTACACAACAGGTAGAGTCTTTAAAAAAAGTTATATGGGGTATACAGTAAAGTTTGTCGATTTACTGTCCTTTTCTTTTTTTTCATATAAAATTGTATGAATTGTTAGGGACCTTGGTTTCCTTTTGCTTTCTTTCTAGAATGTGAGCCTGAATTGCTTGCTAGCAGTGTGGCTAATTAATGGTGGGAATAGTGTATTTCTTTGTTTGTGGGTCCAGCTATAAATCGTTGGAAAATGTGCCTTACAACTATTGCCAGTGAGCTCCTTGGAGCATTCAAGTCATTGCAATTGCATTGTTTGTTCCAATGGCAGAACACAGAGTGCATCCAGTCGTTGGTTGTGGTTGCTGACAAGGAGATGCCTCCAGAGGGTCATGTCGTCATGAGTGCAACCAGGGACACCGGTGTGTATGAATGCCCAAGTCGTTTATTTGCACCTTCGTTACTTTTCAGTGAATAAAGTGGGACCTTCAGCGCACGTAACACGAGATGATGCTCGCCAAGGGGTATTATTCGGGGGATCCACATGATAATAGATATACAACAGATATCGGCAAATGTTTTGCTTGATGTTACCAGGCAAGTCTTCTTGGTACTACTTATACTTGCTTCGAAAAGAGTTTTCTTTATGTGGTGAAACTGTAATGTGTTGCTGTTCTGTCTATCAAAATGGTAGAATCACACTAACTGAGACCTCCTACTAAGTGTATAATGGACAAGGTCTGTCATATTTTCATACCTCATTACAACTGATTACTGCAGTTCTCTAGAGTGGCACGGCAGTACACCTTCATTGTCTTCTTTTATGTTTCTCTTCAGATCAACGTGCCATGAAGAAGAAATTCCTTTGCTTCAAGACAGTGTCTAGGGACTATGCCGGCGAGGCAGTGTCAGACATTATTGTCCTGAGCAAATCTCGAAAGCCTCCCGACGGATTTGTTCTGGCAGGGTGAGGCTTTGTTTATTTATCCACACACTCTTGTTATCTTGGAAAAGCCACTTCAGAAGTTTGCCCATGCCATCATAAAATCCGAGAAGTCTGGAAATTCCTAGACGTGCAACCACTGTGACAGAATAATTTTTGGGAGTGAGCTTTCTGGAAGTATGGAGTATGTAAGCTTCTGGCCCATCCACTGATGGCTTCAATTTCTGCAGCGCACAAACCGGTACAATGTGGCTTCTTCCCATGCACTTTGGACTCGTGTATACGCTGGTTCTCGAAGGCTGCCATAAGTGCTGCACAAATGACAGCTGCCTGTGGCAATTTCTTGATGTTTTATTTGAACTCTAGTCTTCCTTACGAGGTGTGTGGTGGTTGTCCAATTTCTAAAGGCAGGCGAATCCGTGTTTTGCAGAGAGGTAAACAGTTTACACATTGGCTACAAGCTGACACAAGTAACGCCCGTCAATGGGAGGAAGTAAGTACCCACTATTCTTATGACCTCTTTGGTCGGTTTGCACCTGCTGTTCACCATCCATACTAGTCTCTTAGTATGAAAAAACTGTATATTTCTTTTTTAACCTTTACTTTTGTCAGTGTAGTGAGCAGTCCTGAATTAACTTGTTCCTTCAACCTTGGAATAGAAACAGGGTGTCTACCAACTCAGAAGACCTGTAATTGTCAGGGAATTTAAAAGCATCTGGACAGGTTGGGGAATGGTCACGGAGATTGTCAAAAAGTTGGCAAAGTTTGGAAAAAATGGGGGATGTGGACTGTGCTGTGACACACAACGAAGCACGAGGGTGTGACGTGCAGTGGCAAGGATGACCTTCACACTGAGCAACAGTTGTCCGAGGCGTCTCCAGGCTGCGTAAGCCATCACACAATTCATCGGATGGAACGGGTCACCGGATTAAACGGGAACAGCCTGAGCGGCTGCTGCAACCTCATCCTCTGCATTTTCTTATTTTGTAATGGCCGAGGTATTTAATCGAAATGTTTGAGGAAAACCTGGAAAAGTCGGGAGAATTTGAGCAAGGCAGTTGGGTAGACACCTTTAAAGCAAAGCTGTATACATTCCTTTTTTTTTTTTTTTTTTTTTGAGGGAGGGAGATAAAGAATTCGCCTTCTATTAAATTTATGAGGATAAAGTCTTTTTTAAATAAACTTTAAAAGGTCTTAATTGGACCAAGATGCCAAAACAGGCTGCATTAAAATGTGCACTGTAGCGAGGACTTCTCATTTGTAATTTGTGGAAGTCAAATTTTTTGCTTTATTGCCAAAATAAGAAAATAGGGTGGCCGTTGGAGCTTACTGGCTCAAAGTTTCAACAGGCATTATGATCTTTCGTATGTACGCCTTAATTTTAATAGTGTGTACTAACTCGTACGAAGGAATGGGAAGTGTAAAGTGACAATCATGATGCTCCCCCGCTAATGGTGTCATTGTGTGTACCACAGTGGGTTAATAGAGAGTTTTAGTAATACGTATAGGAGCAAATGCAGACCCCATACGTTAACGTTAACGTTGCGTCCTCCACACTGCGCATGCGCCATACGTACGTACTGCGGCGAGCCTTGCGTACGTACGCTCGCTATCAATTTTTGCGAACGTACGTAGCGGTCCCCTGCGTGCCATCTCGTTGCTCTCGTCGCGCACGGGAGAGCGCGAGACTAGTCCAGTTTGAAAAATGGCGGCGGTGAGGCAAACCAGCGGAAGTGCTACGCGCATTGTACGGGTTCGCTTTACCATTGAAGATGACATCAACCTCCTCAAAGAAGTCAACGCGACAACCCTTTCGAGCACCCATAAAGATGGGTGTCGATAGCCAAGAACGTTGGCGACGCCGTCGAACCCCAAAAAATGTTTACCGTGCGGTCAATGCAAAAAAAAAAAAGACCAAAACAGCAAACGGAAACACGCACTTCCGTAACAAAGCGAGGAGAATCGGGGCTTTGGTTTGGCTCGGCCGAATACCCGCCTTGGATTGTTTGAAGCAGTTTACAGAAGCACATCTAGATGGCACTACAAGTCTTTACGTATGCGTTCTTCCGCTGTACTAAAAGTGCGTATTCGATGCGCTCCGTAACGTTCCGTCGACGCAACGTTAACGCTAACGTAGGGGGTTTGCGTTTGCCCCTATACGTATTACTAAAACTCTCTAATACCGGGGGGTCTGAAGAGGACAGTACAGTAATAGGCAAACTGCTAACCTTGTTCCATTCATTTTTCTGTAGAAACAGCTACCACCAGCCACCCCTTCCCCCTCTGCCTTACCCTCTGCCCTCTCACATTGAGAACCACCTTCAGGGAAATGCGATCGGCGAGCGCACAAGCCAGCAGGGCAGGCCTGCCCTCAAGTCGGGTATAACAGCTTTTGTTGTCTATTTATTTGGTGGCATAGCTTGTTAACCAGGAGTTTCTTAATTAAAGAAACGCCAAAGCTTGTCCCCACCATTCCTAGTTTTAAGAAGCAACTTTGATGGAATTTGTTTTCTCCATTATCTCTGAAGCAGGAAAGAGAAGCACATATTGAAAAACAACACTGGGCACAATTTATTTATTAAAGTTTTAGCAAAGTATTTTTTGGTGCTACCTTTTCAAGGCTTGCTTGTCAAAATGGAGTCCTGTTTCTGAGTCACGCGAGCTTCTAATGACAACTTTTGCTGTGCAATAGCTGTAACAAAGTGCTGTGCAGTTTGCTGTAAGAGAGTAGAGCCAGTGTAGAGGTGGTTGAGTAGACAACCTGTGCAAGTTTAAACTGGGTAGGGAATGGATGGGGTAGAGCAATTTAAATCGCCTTCAAACGACGGAGGTGCAGTGGCTCTTGCATCAATATCTCGGAGACATTGATGCAATCATCTATCCAGGGGTTACTGAAAATCATTGTCACCGAGTTATTTGTCGCATGTAAGCTTGAAATCATGATTTCTTTATCCCCTCCAGCCATAGACGACGTACCATTTGAAATCAACCCAAGGTACCGGACCATGTCTAGGCTTTCCGAGGTAAGCTTTCTCGTACCTAAATATTGGGTTATCTTGACTTTTGGGAGTCGTACACACCTGCTGGTGACTTATTAATTGCAGTCAAACGACTTCATAATGAATGCCTCGACTACGAAAACGCCCTTCAACGAAGTAGGGTAAAATAAAGTCTCAACCAATCTTCTATGTGTTCAATGTGTTTTCTGACTCTTACAACAAATTTCTGTTTTAAAAAAATGTATTTTCAAGGGCCGTTGCAACTTTTTTATGCTGTTTTGGCATTTGTTCGATCGACGCACCAATCTTGGTCGGTATCCAAGACACCTAATCATGCTCGATCTAAGTCCCAAATTTTTCTGCCTTGGAGCGACAATACGCGGTTGAGGGAACTTGATCTGTGACACCAAAAATCTGAGCGAAATCTGTAGAGCCGAACAGAAAAACGCCCCCCCCCCCCCCCCCCTTCCCCACCCCCTCCTCTTTGTGCCGGACAAGTATGAAAAGGGGCCTGGTTGTGCGCCTCTCCCCATCTTCGCCGTGCGGCGCACTGCAGCTGTCACATGCCTCAAGCACAGTTGATTCTGCTGCGGTGGTGCTGCCGCACCCGTTCCTACGAGAGCAGCGCAGCCACTTTGAAAGCCTCCAAATGACACATGGTGGCGCAATGCACCACCCAATTTAGTCAGTCAAGTTTTTTTTCGTATCTCGGATGTAGATGTCAAACTTTGCCAGTGGCGGTACTGGCGGTACGACCGCTAGTATCGGGTACCGATACAATTTTAATTTAGAAAAAATAAAGGTAATCGAGCTTCAAGTGCCCGGATTTTGCAGTGCTAGCTTTCGCCCCACGTGCTCAGAGTTGCGACGCGCTAGCACCCACCACCGTCCTTCCTTTTGATAAGTCGATTGTCAACGTACAAAACCTTGTTTATGATGTCACTCGTACCATGTTTGGCACTGTGCCATAAGTTTGCGCAAGTATGTCAATATGTGGTAGCGCAAATTCGGTTTCACATGATAAATTTTTTGCACTGCACTACAACAACGAAGTTACCTGTACTAACAGGAATTTCGCCAGTCCTGCAGATTTCATTATAAAGGCGTTTAATTTTATTTTACATACTGATGAGTGCAGCATAGCGAAAGAAGCTTAATCGATTATTGACAACTTCTGCAATGTTGATAGAAATACGCTCACTTGGACAAAAACCTGTTACTCAGGGTTGCTAGAGAGGCGTAACTACAGAGCTTTTCCAACATCTGTCTTACAGTTCACCATGCCAAACATTAGGGTCAAGACAGCTAGCGAGCTTTACGATGAGGTGAGCCTGCAACCTTCCCAAGTTTTGTTCCTTGGCATTGCTGGCTTTTCTACACCTCCGCTTTTCCCTGCTTTCAGTACAACTACAACTTCCAAGTTGAACGCCAGGCTCAAAACACCTAAACGATGCAGCAGGGATGCCAAGTTTTGTTCATCTCCCTTTTGACTGCCGGACGACCAACACCCCTGCTTGACTCTTTAGCTGGAGGTTTTTGAACGACTCCATCCAGAACAAGATAGTAGCGGCATTACCTTGCAAAAGTACGAACCCACCTACTTCTAGACGTGCAGCAAATGCTGTCTCTACACCATTATACTTCGCCGACTCCGAAAGTGGAGCAGAAGTTCTGTGCTTGCTGGCTCAAGTGATTGTTGCCCTTGCACCAGGTGTCTGCTTTTTGTGCGTGCATGATAATGAAAAGCCTGAGCATGCACTACAAGGACAATAGTTAACTGGTCCACAAGCACATGGGTTTCTTTGAACTGTCAGCTTGGGAATAGAGGGAGTTTAGCATGGCCACACAGGCATCGCTTCTCTGTTGTTTTGCACACCGCAGCCACATTATGCTTTCGTCACTCATCATGGATAACTACACTACAAGTAATCTAACCAACTAAGCTCTTACAAAGGCCTATATAAAGGAGAATTACGGTACTCTGATTAGCTTTTTTTTTTGTTGGCGGTTGGTCGTGCAATGTAAGTACACTTTGTGGCAAGTATTTTTTACTTTTCCCTCCAGTAAGTGCCGTTTTTTTTGTTTTTTTTTTTGCTCAGCTTCAGTGTGCCAATGGCTTATTTATTCTGCTTTATAGCCCCATACTGCAGTTTAGTCTAAAGCTATAACTGCATCATCATAAGCCGCATCAACAAATATTGTGTAGCGTGCCAGAATGTGTGGAATTTTTTAAAATTTGTTTTAGCTTGTAGCTGTTTTTATCCAATCCATCAGCAACAGATTCAAGAGTACAAGAATGCCATATCCTGTCACAGTACTCTCCAAATAAAGGTTGGCCAGATGTGGTCAAACAAGTGGATTCGTAAATTCATTTTATGTGCATGCTGATCAGTAGCCGGAGTTTTTATGCAAGATGATAAACATTATGGGACAGTTTATTCACTTGGTGGAAAACAGAGAAACTGACCCAAAGGGTTCCAGGGGGTACAGTGCATTTCGGAATCTTGGAGACCAGATGCTTAATGAAAGCACCTTCCTGCGAGCTTGAACCATGGTGCAAGATATATACGTATGTAGGTTTGGATACCTTGCATGTCGCAGCTGCCAGACAAAGTCCTCTCTTTGCCTTAGATGCAAGCAGCACCATCAGATGGCTCCTCGATATGCGGCTAGTCAGAGCCATCCGTAGTGCGGCTAATGGCAGCCTGTCGGAGGACCGGTTTTCCATGCTTGCTTTTAAAGTCGTTTGCCAGGTCATTAACTTGGCTTTTGCGCTACTCGTGTTGCTTGGACACTGCTTTGTCATTGACCCTAGTTTCGTGTGTCAACGGCAGCAGTAACAGTTTCTGAATGTGTTGAAGCCAACGTCCATCAAGGTTGGAGCAGACACTACAAGTGAAAAATGTGTGCGCCCACATGCAAATTTTTTTAATTTTTTTTTTTTATCTGGTGTTTGGACGGCGAAGATGCTGTCAGCCAAGGCTGCACAGGCGGGCACGAGGGGGCTTTTTATGGTTGATTGCATTGCAACGTTGGCCGTCCTGTCTCCTCTCCTACATATATATATATATATATCTCTTACGCCATGGCTTAAGCTCGGAGTTTGCTGTGTACTCTTGTGAAGGTTAAAGGAAGAGCAGAAGACGCTTGGTCACTAAAGACAAATGCCAGGTATCTCGTCCAGTACGCTCGGCGGTCCAACTATACTTCGTTCACCCCTAAGCTGAGACTGCAGTGGAAGCTACAACCCCATTGGACAAGTCGTATGCCTCTCTTTTTGCCACGTCATCCCGCTCTTGGCCATAGCCATGCACAGAGAGCCAGGTCAGGTGATAGATGGGCGGCCGATTGATCTAGCAGGCATGTAGCTCCCACCATAGTCTCAGCTTAAAAGTGAACAGAGTATAACAAAGGTAGCAGGTGAAAAAATTATGGAAGACAAAGCATGCTGTCTTGTAGAACATTTTACTAGAAAACTAATTCTTGATAATTGATTCCCTGTAATATATAAGGGCACTTGCCATTATTATCTTTCAAAATACTTTGACTGGTGAAGGCACAACATTGTTTCCCAACTGCCCAGAACTAGAATTCACCCTTTTACAACTAATAGTTTCTGGCATAGTGGGCAGTCCCACTCTTGATACTGAGATAGGCTTCGAGCACTGAGTAACACAGAACACAGTGTATAGGTGCTTGCAAGCAGCCATGCTTCGAGAGCTAGTCTGGCCCCATTGTGGGCAGAAAAAAACGCTTTGTTTTGGTGCCAGTCAGGAAACCATGGGTATGCCTGGCCTCAGCAATGCTCGACTATCAGACGATCTAGACACACCACCAGCAAGATGGCGGCACCCAGAGGCCGTACTTTCAAACGTCTATACACTATGTTATACACCGTGTGAAAGAATCTGCGAGACATATGATGGATATAAATAGATGACTCGAAACTAACATCACTATAACAGCCAGAAGTCTGTTGAAAGAAATTGACATGATACTCATAGGTAATTTCTACTCAGAATGCTGCTACTAGTGCTGGGCAAAACACAAATGGAAAGACTTAATGATCACAGTTAGAAAAGATAAGTGAAGGAGCAAACTACTCTAAGACCCTTTCCAAGTTTTACCAAACTTTTTAAGCAGGAACTTCTATGTGCTTTTAAGATTTACAAGAATGGCAATACGCATAAGTTGGGAGCACTCAGGTATAAGGGTTCAATAGTAAATTTAGAATGAAGTAGTCAGAATACACCTATAATAACAGAAACCCCAAGACCTCGTAATCTCTCTGCCTGTTCTGCTTCAGGAAATTCATAACTTTAAAGGTACCTGTCCAGAAATATTCCAAAAGGCATAGAGGTTGTAGCAGTGCTTCCCTAGCAAGGAGCCACTGTAATTTGAGGTAATTGAAGGTCTTCAAGCAAGTTCAGAAAGATTTCTATCCTCGCAGTGATATGCAAATTCACAACTTGTTATATACATGGGGCATATAGCCTCACCTAACAAACCCTACAATTTAAATACGTTACTCATCCTGCTGTTAAAATGAGAGGCATCAATAATTGGTGGTCGTTAAATGCCAACACCCTCTTTGGTGCAATATGGTCAAAGGCTCGCTATGTATGCTCAAAGGCAATAATGAGAGCTTTGACAAAACAAACTGGCCGAGAACACTGCCTTATGGGGTTGTGCTTCCACTGTCCCACAGTGGGAGCCACTGTCCCACAGTGGGAGTGAGGGTAGACAGCCAGCTAAAAACAGACTTAACTCAGATAGCCTCACTCACAAAAGTGCCAATGTGATCCTCGGAGCCTAGTGGCATGCTACAGCACCTCCAGTTACCTGACCCGTCGGCAGATCTCATATAAATTGTTTCCGTATCTACAATAACCGCAGCCATGATACAGCACTGCGGTACTGAAACCTCATCATCTTTACTAGACAGTAATGTGACAAATCCACCGACACCAATTATAATGGAAGTAGCTAGGGGTACTTGTTGGAGTGGTCTATTCCTCTCGATTACACAATATATGTGAGGTCTTTATAAGCCCACTGCCATAAGCCACATCATTGACCCCCCCCCCCCCCCCCCCCCTTTCCTAAAAAAAAAACCTTATTATTGACAGACATTGGAAATGTTTTAGAGCTTCAAGTGCAACTGCTCGAGTTCCATGTACAAAGACATGACATACCCTTCCTGAGGTGCTAGACTTTCACCTAAAAAAAATATAAGTGGGAAGTCACAACGTTGTGTGACAACAATTTAAATCTGGAGTCCAAAAGAAAGCCTGAAGGCCATTTCCAGAGCGGTGGCCGAGGCATTCTCGTGCACACACACGTAGGCCTCCCTTGGCTGATGCCTGTCCGAGAAGAGGCGCCCCACGACCCAGTACGACACCGGGGCCTTGGCCTTGCTCTTGGCGCCGTTGGCCGCGGAGCAGGTGAACAACACTCCGTGCTCCCTGACGCACGACAAGCTCCGGTCCGTCGCGAACTTGCTCTCGCTCTCTCGCTCGTCTTCCCCGGTGGTGCGTGCCGACCCCTTGGCCGTGCACCGGAAGACCTCCCGTATCGCCAGACAGCAACGGTTGAAGTTCTCCACAACCTGCGCCCCCAGGTTGTTCTCGAGGGCGCAGTCCACCGGAGCCACAAAGATTCCCTCTGCTAGCTCGAGGTTCAGGTAATGAAAGAGAAGGTTCTCCTCCCCGCGAGCCCGCTGCTGCTGCAATGGCGCCAATTGTCCCTGGCTGCTGCTGCTGTCCTCGAGGCTCCGGCGCAGACTGCTCAGGTCATAGCTGCTGGCAAAGATTCGCCGCAGCCTGGGGTCCCGGTTCTGGTAGGCGTCGCTGCCACTCGTCCGAGAGTCGCAGTCGGAGAAGCTGGCGGTGGACAGGGAACAGTGCCTGTTGCGGGAGCCGAGGTTCGAGTCCTCGCAACTACTGTGGCTCCGGTTGGTCTGGAACTCCTGCTCAGAGGCGTCCAGATGACCGGCAGAGACCCGGAGGAGGTGATGCATGTCGACATCCGATGCGCCCCGGCTCCGACGTCGAGCAGACGGCGACGGGGGTCCCGTCAGCGACAAATTGGATTGGCTCGTGGCACGGATTCCCTGGCCGTCTGCAGCCCTCGGAGAATCTGTACCTGCGATGGAAGGTCGTTGGCTTTTCGTGCCGTTGGCGGGGGACCCCAGTCCGACGGTCCGATGTTTAAGGCAGTCGTCCGCGATGGCGACGACTCCGTTCGAGTCAAGCTGAAGCAGGGCGTTTTGGGCCAAGTCGATGTAGAAGGCATCCGGCGCGGGGTTGTCTTCCGGGACCGAGGAACAGCCGCCAACTTCGAGGAGTGCAGCAAGGAGGCTGTGCTTGAGTCCGGTGATCAGGAGGAAGTTGCGGTTTTCGGTCTGGCTTTGGGGCAGGAAAACCTCCTTCCACACTACCACCTGACCCACACATTCTTCTTGCATGAGCGAGAGCAACTGGTAGTGACGGCAGTAAAGAAAAACATTTTCGAGATCTGCTTTGGTGAGGTGGTTCGCAAGCAGGTAACCCTTATAAAAAACGCACGACCCCAGAAAGGTAAATAACCGCTGCGACTCGTAGAATGCTTCACTAGTATCCCCAAAGTCCGCAGACTCGAGCTCGCTAAGCACGGAATCCACTTGGCCTTGCGCCTCTGCGGGCAGTGGCAGCCAGGGAGCCAAGTGGAGGGCTCGTGAGAACCTACAGCTCCTCTTGTATTCGGGTCGAGAGAATGCCAAGAGCTCGTGAAAAAAGTGCAGAAAGAAGAGATCAACACGAGCGTGGTTTTCCACTTCCTTGAAAGCGAGCGACAATGACCTGCTTTCAAACTTGAGCAGCTGGACGACTTCTGCAACAAAACCACGCATCTCTTCGGGAGTCGCGCACGAAGCCGGAAGGGCCAGCACCACCAGGCTGGAACCTTCATGAGAAAAGGCCACGTGCACGAGGTGCCCATCTACAGTGAGACTGCTGGACTGGGGCTTGGCCGCCGTGACCTCTGCGAGGACGCTGCTCAATGTAACGAACATGCCCTTTAAGTTGGACAACGTATGGTCATAGTTCGGATACCTGTAGAAGTGCTCGTTTCTTTGGTTGTGGTCGCTTGGCTGCTGAAAACTGCTGGAGTCGTTGCGAAGCTCCTGGTAAATAAACGCGTGAGGAATTTCGCGGAGAGTTCTCTCGATCTCCCGAACTGTGGCTTCGTCGCCCGAAAGCTGTTTCATGAGCTGGCTCTGTTGGTGCAAGTCCTGAGAGAAGGGAAACTTGACACGCTCTGAGAGGGAGTTCTCCTCGAGGCGAAGGAACTGCAACTTGACTTTCTGCGGCTTAGTTATGTTCCGAAGAACCGCGTCCACGTTGTTTTCGTTCACGTCCGAGCCGTCTATGCTCCTCAGGACGTCTCCGATCTTGACGACGCCGGATCTGAGTGCCTCTCCGTCGGGAATGAGCCCCTGCACCATGATGGGAGAGCCTTCCTCCAGCGCCTCCGCTGTCGCCAGCCTGGGCGCCAGCCTGCCCGGTATGATTCCGAAGAGCGTTTCGCAGAGCGTGGCTCTCCGGCCGTAGTTGTTCCGCTTCGGGTCAACGTCCACCAGTATTTCGTGGCACTCGGCTTTGCCGAAGCCGCGAAACGAGGCACCCCGCTCATTCCGGGCGTTCAGGTGTCCGTTCTGAGGGAGATCGAAGTTTCCCTTCGTCTTCTTCAGACCGACGAGGCTTTTGAGCTTGCTCTTGGCCTCCGAGCTGAAACTCTTGCTCGAATGCGACGCTTGCGATTCTGACGTCGAGCTCTTCGTCGGCGAGCTCGGTTTAATTTCAAAAGATGGTTGGTACCTGGGTTCGATGTAGAACAGCTCTCCGCAGGGCCCGATCTTGTCGACCCAGTCCGGCTCGTACGATTTTTCGCTGCAGCCGTCCGGCGTCGCACTGCTCGAGTCACAGTCGCACACTTCCGCGGCGAAGGCCCGATTGACGTGCGAGTTGTCCACAACCCTAAGCGCTTGCGGTAATGACATGTCGTTAAGCCGAAGTTCTGCTCTAAATTCGAGCTGTAGCTTTCACAGCCGCAACAACCACAACTCGGAGCCACTTTTTTTCACTTGTTTGCGTCCTTTTTCAGTTGCTGTCGTCCCGTTGTTTACTTTTCCACACTCGCGAGTCGCTTGCTTGGCTTTTTGACTTGACTTGACCTCAAGCACCTCGAGCCACTTAACACTTTAGTTGCGTATAAAAATACAAATAAACAAATAAAGTCTCAACATATACTTTTTGAGCATACAAATAATTAAACAAAATAGGTAAAAGAAAAAAATTAGTTTATATTTAACAATAATATGATGTTTTATTTTTTGTTTTTAAGTAATTCCTGAAGTTTTGTTGGTTTCGTTTTGCTTCCTCATCGTAAATATGGCGGCGGATCTGAAGGCGGTCTTGACAAATTTGCTAGGTAATCTTTCTCGAAGCCGTTCCCCGGCGTCGCTAACGGAAGCGAAAACTATCTTAAGTGCGACCCGAATTGAGAATATATACAATGTATCTAAAGACTTGGACCTCAGCCCGCTGTTCAGCTGCCTGGAAACGTTTGAAGGGTGAGTGGCATTTTTTTCCGACCAACAACCAAAATTCCAAACATGCCTCAGATCGCGCATTTAAAATTGAAGACAGTCGTTTGCCCGTCATCCTAATAACTACTGCCGCGCCGTTTGAAGTGAAATTGCAAGCAATGTCAGACTAACCTTGTTCCCAAACCAAAAGACAGGCATAAAGAAAAGAGGTTGATGTACTACTTTGTACATTGAAAGTAATAGGAGAGTGTGTTGGTTGAACACATTGAAAGGTTTTTGAAAGCAAGTATAGACAAAGGAAAACACGACAAACACGGACGTTGTCCGTGTCTGTCGTATTTCTCCTTTGTCTCTTGTCCATATTTACGTTCAAAAACCTTTCAATATGTATTTTGTATTTGATTGAACTTCTCATGCAGTTCCTCATAGTTAATAATGTAAATTTCTCCCACTGGGATTCAGGGAAGACCTGGAAGAGTTGAACGACCTACTGGGGAAGTTGCTGGACTCTTTCCCGCCGCAGACGCTTCTATCGGCACACAAGGACCACCTTGTAGGAGCTCTGAAGAGTCCGTCACCATCTGTGAGAGCCGTCGTGCTACGCCAGGTTGGTTAGCTACTTCACTTAATTCATCGAAGCAGTTTATGGTAGCCGAGTGCTATCTTTCACTCGGTTCACATAGCCTTCTCAGGGCTTATCTTGTCAGGCGGCCGCGGGTGTCGAAGTTGGATCTCATTGTCTTTCTGGCCAGCTTGCATCAAATATTTCCTGCGGCATGTCTTTTGTCTTCTTCCTTTCTTGCTTCTGTGCGGACGGTTATATCTTGTCTGGATAGAAGCGCCGAAGGACAGGGACAAAGTGAAGGAGGTAACGACAACACGGAGCGCACTCGCAACTAAAAGTGTATTAGAAACACACTGACTTAAGTACTTTAATAAAACCATGTCACTTCCACCCACCATACTGTCTCTCTAAAAGTAACATTTTCTTATCTAACAGTGCCACAGGCGGCTCACCGATATAGTTATCGGCGCCCCTTGTTTTGATGACAAACGCTCTGTGAATTTCTCTAGTTGTTTTTCCGTTCTGTCATCCCAGGATGGTTGTGTTTGAAAACCAGGGGGAGCATGGGCATCGATCACAATGCAGAGCTAGATGCCCAGACGGCATCTGTTTGATAGCTGCTGCGTGTTCTCTAGCACGGTCATTTACGCAGTGGCCTGCTTGCCCTACTTAGGTGCACCTGTAGGATAGTCTAATGTTGTAGATGACAGAACTTGTACATCCCAAAAACTTATTTTTGTGTTATAAAATTACAAGTGCTAACAAAGACAAGGACAAAAAGGAAGGCAAACAGGACGAGCGTTTCTTTTGCATACGTCACTATCTCTGTCTGGAGCATTGATTCTTTTGCATAATGAAGAAAGATTGTTCGGGGCCAAAAAAACAACCGGAACGTTGTAACGCCCCACAACTCTTTTTAAATTGTGGGAGATAGCACAAAGGTAAAAAAATGATGGCTGGTCTTATTTTTTGCCATTCATGAACTCGTTGTGGAACACCTTTGTACCTCCTTTTGAGACCATCTGCCACATCACTCGGGGACTTCTGTGGAAAACCTGCACTTAATAGGCGATCGACCTGTAACAGAAAGCACCTGTCCATTTCATGGCGACATGATTTCTTAAACGCAGGACGCAGCGATACTTTTCCTTTACTAGATTTGAATGGGCGGAGTTAAACCGTACCAGATACACAGACGGCGTCTGTTTGATGGCTGTCAAACAGACGCCATCTGGGCATCTTGCCGTGCATTGCAATCCATGCCCGTGCACTTCCTTGTTTTCAGACACAACCATCCTGGGATGACACAGCGGAAAGACAGCTAGGGGAATTCACAAAGTGTTTGTCATAAAAACAAGGGGCACCGATAAGTGTATCAGTGAGCCGTCTGTGGCATTGTGAGACAAGGAAATGTTATTTTTAGAGAGAGAGTATGGTGGGTAAAAGTGACGTGGTTTTATTAAAATATTTAAGTCATTGTGTTTCTAATAAACTTTCAGTTGTGAGTGCGCTCCGTGTTTTCGTTGCCTCCTTCACTTTGTCCCTGTCCTTCGGCGCTTCTATCCAGTCATAAACCAACAAGCCCAACTGAATGTTTGGTCATATCTTGTTGCTCTCTTTTGAATGATCCCAGCCGCGTTGAAGATTGTGTGTCGTCCTGCACATTATCTTATTTCTCCTTGTCTCAGGGTTTACACTGTGATGTCCTAACCAACTCGCCTGCATACTTTTGCTTTTAACAGAATGTTCTTTTTCTCTGGTTTTTTTTTTTGCCTTGCAGCTGATCCGATGCACAAAGGACAACAGCACCCTGTCCCAGCTGTCGCGCAGCAGGAGCGTCTTGGAGTCCCTGCTGAGGCTGCTGGGGGAAGAGGACCTGTGGGCCTCCAAGCAGAGTGCCCTCATCCTTAGGGAAGTGGCCAGGGAGAAAGAGGCGCTCAGCGCCCTGCTACAGCCGCCTGTGGCACTCATTCTGGATGATGTCATGGGGCGCGGCGATGTCTTTCGCTTCAGGGTCTTTGAGGTCGGTCCCTTTGCATGTGTGCCCTTATAACCTACTTAAAGGGTAACTGCAAAGAAAAAGAAAAGATTTTTTAAACAGCCTAATCGGGACAAGCATGTCACAAAACAAATCTTCCGCGAAAAAACAATTTTTTTAGCAATATTTACGCCACAGGACGTAATTTAGTCGGAGTCACAACCTCTCCACATTTGAAACTTCCGCTCTTTCGACACGCGTGGAGTGGCTGGAATACGTCACTTCGTAACGTAGAGCAGCCAATCCGTGACGTATAATATAATACCAATTTTGTGGCGCGCGATTTAAAATGGACGAAATAACCACAAACTAAAATCAGTCCCACGCAATAAATATTGCTGTAAAAAATTTTGTTTTTGTTGGAAAAATTGTTTTGTGACATGCTTGTCCCAATTAGGCTGTTTAAAAATACATTTTTTTTCTTTGCAGTTACCCTTTAACTATGAGAAAACAATATTTATGTCTGTCACCGATAAGAAGCAACCTTGTCTTTTTGTGTACAATGTAGGCAACCAAACACTGCTTTGGGTGACTAATGGAAACCGTGCAATGGAGTTTGCCCTGACAGGTCGCGCTATCTGGTGCGCAACTTCCGCAATGATGGGAAGTCTGGTTCGCCATTTGCGCCGTTGAAGACGCTGCACTTTCGTTGGTATGGTGCACAACAGCACAAACATGCGACCACCTTTTTTCTTCTTTTTTTTACAGTCTGCGATTAAAACTATACCATGTGTCATCCTAACGGGTAAAACAGCGAAGGCAACAAGCGCGAGGTCCTTGCTTTCTGTACTTGTGGGGCCGCATGGTAACAATAATGTTTGGAGATAAAATGATACTGTGTTTCGGTGATTGATTTGCTTCATTGTAGCACTCAGTCGTAAATTGTCAAAACTGCATTTGCGACTGTTTTCTTTAACGAGAGAACTAAAGCCCCATCCGCACGCCGTAAGGTTCTGGCGTGCGGCCGTCAGAAGAAGTGAGTAAGCTGGTGGGTACATTTTTGCGTTTAATTGATTTGAGATACCAAAATAGTGTTCTGACTCAGTTGTCTTTGTGGTGCTTGATATTGTTATTTCTGCAAGGAGTTCCAGAGTGGTATTCGCAGATTTGCCGAGTTCATATTTGTTGTTTGGCCGATGCTGACTGTATTTGTTAAACAATGCGAAGTGCTTTACTTAAATTTGAAGCGGAGACATTGTGTCATTATAGTATGCAATTTATCTAACTAATGCGTAAAATACGTATAGTTCAAGTACCACCTTACATCTAAACAACACTCCTGTTGAAAAAAAAAAGAAATACAGATGTATATATTTTTTAGCTTTAGTAACACGCTTTTTAAATACACTGCCGACTTTTGGTCTGCGGGCAACAAGTTTTGCGCCATCTTATTTTTCTAGTAACGATGTTTTCAATTTTGTGGCCACATTGCGATGCACCAACTTGGCAGTCAATAAATATTAATTAACTTCTACTTCTGTTGATTCAAATCAGCGTTTACATACTTTAGACCTGCCATATATCACGGTACATGACTTAAAGGGGTACTCCGGCGATTTCTTCATGGTCCCCGATTTGCTTGAAATTTTGCTAAACTCGCCAAACAACATCGCCAAAACAGTATCCCAAATATTAGGTCAAAATAATTTCTTTTCACGAAGTTATTGAATTTACAATTTTGGTCCTCACCGTATTTTTCAAACTGAAAGTCTCTACTGGCAACAACAAAAAAGTGACGTCAGTGGAAGTGCAGGGGTTCACTCTTTGGACTGTAGAATTTGTTCCCAACTGATTCGAAGCAGTTTGATGGTGTCAAGTGAATGCTTTGGAAGCTCGCTCCAGTCCCCGTGCTTCCGCACGGAACGAATGATTGGCATATTCTATTTTTTAGACTGCTCCCTCGACTGGCAAGCTTCCCTTCCACTGACGTCACGGCACTGAAAAGTGCGGGTATATTTGAATGTTGGTTTTTCCATCATTTTCATTTGCCGATTTCGCAATGACTATTATGAATTTAGCGATACTAAATAGCATACCGGAAGGGGTTAAAGGCCGGGGAGTCAGAAAATATAGTTAGGTGAGATAGCTCAAAAAATCGCCGGAGTACCCCTTTAAGCCCTCCAATTCATAAACAATCCAAAAAAAGGTTGGTTGTGCAAATATATTAGTCAGATAAAAAAAACTAAATATAAAACGAGCTTCTTGCAAATGTTTACTACCAAAAAATAATAATGAGGTGAATAAAAATAATCTTACCTCAAAAACATTTCTGAGTTGCCGCGAAATAAAACTTTCTGCATACATAGAGAAATTTAAAAAAAAAATAAGGGCAGACATGACCTAGTGAGTGCTAATAACTATGATTCGCACACCGAGACGGAAGTCGACCCCATGCCTTGCTGCGTGAGTGCCTTCTGTGCCAGAGTGCATTCAATTAATTATCCAGGGTATGCCCAGAGTATCATGTCCACAATACCAAAAGAACAGCTCATTTCTACCTTAGGCAAACCAGTCACTATGTTGTCAATATATGCGGGGACGAACACAATCAAACGAGCCAGCACCGCATTTGGAAGTTAGCAACGAGAAGGGAACAGGAGAAGCAGACGACGCGCCGGCGACTTCCCATCGTTGCACTTCTTTGCCGGTGGAGGCGCTGACTATCGCCCGGCTGCGGCACCTCCTTGACATATGCTTTGGAACTATGGGTATACTCATTTAGGCTAACATGCTGAATAGAGTTTAATAACCTTCCTAATTATTTTTCATCACTATTAGACATAAGGATGTTACCAGGGAATATATATGCCCCTGTAACTTTCACATCATGCTAATTTTAGCAGTTCAGTTATCTGTTAATTAATTTATTGTACTGCTTTTCTTTTTCTTTTTTTGCTTAATTGTTTTTGTTTGGGTTGATGACTGCTTCTGCTGCTGTTGGAGGAGGAATGGGATTTGTCAAGCAGCCGTGTAGTGATTCTTTCCCCTCCCCCCCTTTTATTCTTGAGTGAAAAAGAATGAACAAACTTGAAACTTTTACAAAGCCTCCATTGTGCCAGGCACGTAGCCAGGGAAGGCGGCCCATGGGGCCCGGGGCCCCCCCCAAAATCTTCCATTTTGCTGGGGCCTCCTTTCCCCCTTCCCCTCATACAGCATTTTGTCATGGACGGGCCCCCCCGAAACAAAATCCTGACTACGTGCCTGCATTGTGCACATCCATACCATCTCAAGACCATATAGTCAACTGATGCCTGCCTGATGCTTTTTGTTTGTGGACATAATGTTTACTTGAAAAAGCCTCTTCCGTGTAGACCAGGGCTGCACGACTCAAAAATGACGCGGGCCAAAAAAATGTTTATTGAGAACTACGCAGGTTGTTAATAACTGGCATCATTGCACTGATTGCCGTCTTGAGCGTATCTCGCAGTGTCATGTCCGGGGGCCCATGCCATCTGAGAACTCCGTCTGACCAACTGATGTCTGCTTAATGCTCTTGCAGGTGTTCGTGGACATAGCCAAGGCATCTCCGGAGATGCTGGAGAAGCTGGCTGAGAGTGGTCACCTTGACAAGCTGCTCCAAGAGACGAACCAGGGGGACGTCCTGGTGCGGCTCAATGCCCTGGAGCTCTTGACGGAGCTGGCCTCCAAGAGCCATGGCCTGGACTACCTTGAGAAGAAGGGAATCTTGGCGAAATTGAGCAGCGAGACAATCAACGTGGCCAAGGACCCACTGGGAAGCCTCCTTGGACCTGGTGCGTATTTGGGGAGTAAAAGTAAACTAATAGTATTGTGTGTATGTTTAAACAGCCAGAAATTAGTCAGCTCCAGTAAGCACCTGATGTTTTTGTTGTAGAAAAAAAGTTGTGTTGTGTGTGTTTATACAGCCTAGAACTTTGTCTGCCTCAGTGGGCGACGAGTCTCCCAGCTGTAGATGAGAAATTTAGCCAGTGCGGTACAACCGCTAGCCTGGGGTCTTTATTGTGCATCACGCAGTAGTGATACACAACCGCACGCCGGTACGATGCTCATCCAGATCGAAACGGGCAGGGGTGGGGTTGAACCCAGGATCCTGTGGTCTGCAGCGCGAGCTTTCGCTCCATGTACTCCGAGCTGGTGTGCGCTAGCCCACTCAGCCACCAATCCCCCCCCTCCCCCCCCTCCACCCCCCCCCCCCTTTTTTTTTGTAGATGAGAAATTTAGGCAGTGCAGTACCACTGCCAGCTTGGAGACCTTAACATGCATCGCACAGTAGCAACACTGCTGTGCCAGTGCAATGTGCATCTGGATCTAAACAGGCAGGGGTGGGGATTGAGCCAAGGATCCCTCGGCTTCATAGCACAAGCTGCACTCCGAGCTTTGGTGCACCAACACAATCGGCCACCAATCTCCTGCTTTGGGAAGTTGGCTGCTGCAGACGAAGCTCACGCAGTGTTTTCCCCGCTCCCTGCTTCCTCTGATGCAGCAAGACGGTACAGAGCTTGCCGTCTACTTCTGTGGCTCGCAAATCGGCCAGTCACCTTTGTTGCTGAAGCGACTGGGTTACTTGCTGACAGCAGAATAGCTGCAGATCTGCTATGAACTCCAGCGTGACGTATGCAGCGTGTGAAACGAGGTGCGGCAACTGCAACTTCCTCTCGCAGGCCTGCTGAAGTTCTTCGGCAGCATGGGACAGACCAGCCCCCAGCGGCTGTTGGTAGACTACCCGCAAGTGCTCGGCTTCATCTTTGAGTGCGTCCAGGACGGCGACTCGGCCAGCCAGGCCGTGGCGGTCGAGACCATCGGTGTCATTGGTTCCAGTGTCCAGGGGAAGCGGGCACTGCGGTCGCACGGTGAGGGTCAGCTCACACCAATCATTTCCGTGATCTGAAAATGGGCTTACAGGAACCCTGAAGTTCTCAAGAGTGCTCTCGCGGTTTCCCCAAGCTCAAAAAGATTTTGGTTTCCAGCACAGTTTTAACAGATCTGAGTTATTCATTGATACATTATGAGGTCTGTAGGCTTCTCAATTGCTACATCACACCAGTGCCAACACTGGGACGGATTCCTCGGCTTTCGGTCAGGTCAAACACGGATACTCGAGATTTTTTTTTTCTTTTTTTTTTAGCTCCGATTTATTTGAACACGAGGTCAGACAAAGCTACATGCTCGATCGCCATTTATTTTTGGAATGCGATTCTCGTCTGACAACATGCTTGTGTTGGGCCACTACTCGCATGTTTACTAACAATGGGATATCCTACCTGGAATATAGGTGCTTATAAAAAGGGGGGGGGGGGGGGGGGGGGGGGGGGGGTCACACAGCAGTTAAAATTTGCTTAGGGCACTTGATGGTGTAGGGCCGGCCCTGCCCAAGATAGAAAGGTTTGAGAACCCGTCATTTCGCATTATCAATGTTCCAATACTGGACACTCTGAATAGTATGATTTGAATCGTTTTGATATTTGACTTACATTGAACTTGAGGGTTGCTTACCCATTTGAAAATTTCCAAATATTCAGTGCCGATCGTATGTTTAACCAACTAACAAATATTAGAACAAATAAAAAAAGATTTGCATGCAGAATTTTGTTTTTTGGCGTTTAGGTATTTCAAAATTTTAGTTCATACAAAATTGTCTTAAAGCCGAGCCAGAAGGTGACAACAAAGGCTGCCCGACTACCGTAAGATACCGGGCAAGTGCCCACTCACAATTTTGAGATAATCATAAAAAAATGGGGGATGGGCACTTGTCCGGTCATCATTTCTACATATCAATGTGTGCTGTGCATACTTTCCCAGATTTTACGAATTTGGGTATGGGCGCTTAATGTGATATGGGTGGATGCACGGTATTCTACGGTAGGCCCCTAGCACCTAACTATGCTTGCTACACAAGCAGTGCTGCAAGTATTCAGATATTTCCTGACAAATTTATTTAATACATTACAGTATGCACCTTTGGCCTAAGGAAGTAGCTTTGATGGGTTTATGCACATATTTAGTAATATTTCTGCTCTTTTGCACTGCTTGAGCGAGGTTTAGAAGTACCATATTCTAGCTTAACAGCAGAATATAATTTACTTTAGCCACAATTTAATTGTTTTTTTGGACCAGTGTTAAATGGACTATTCAGTTCTAATGAACATTACATAGTAGTAGTAGCCGCAATTGCAATTTGCTAAAGTTGTGTGGACCTTGCTAGCACAGTCACGTTTGATAGTTGCTTGTGTCTGTACTTTAAAATAACCACCGAAATGGCTGGAACAAACAATGTGGGAAGTATGTTAGTACTATACTGCTGTACTGTGCTTTAAGCAAATTTGAGCAAGATGTGCTGCTTCCACAGTGACAGACAGAGTGCTATACCTTTTTTGAGAGCTACCAACTTGTACTCAGCTTACAATAAGGTTCTAGAGTACAGGCAGGCTAGACTCTTTACCGTGGCGAGAAGGTATTTAGAGGTCCCTTCATAAGCAAGATAATTTCCCACCACCATTGTAGCCTGTCTTTACAGAATAACGTGTTCTTTTTAACTAAAGGATATACTTTGAAAGAGTAGTCCAGGATTATGTATCTGTCTCATTCCCTGATATCTCTGAGAGAAGAAACCAAAATTACAGGACTATAAGAGCATAGATGCTCAATAATGCTGGGCATTTTCTAGCTTCTGCATTGAACTTTCTTACCGAGTTGACGTGCTGGAGTCAGGATATATGTACCGGTGGACATCAAAGTCTGAAATAAATGGATTTATTTTGTCCCGTTGCATCAGAAGCAAATAGCCACAAAGCTTAGCTCGTACCGCTCAAAATAAATACTCAGCGCAACAAACCAGTGTCATCCTCACCGTATGTGTTCTCTATGAATGTGTTCTCTATGACCGTGCCAATCCTGCAGGTGATAAGATGAAGCAGTATCTGAAGACCCTGAGTCAAAACATTCAAGGAGGAAGGAGCGAGCTTCGTGTGCGGTCCCTGGATGCCCTGGCCAACATACTCCACATAGAGGTAAACATTTTGCGTCCTTCCGAAGCTACGAGCAGTGTGGAAGTGTCAGCTTGTGCAAGGATTTGATATGTGTATGCAAGTTCTGGGCTAAATAAAATTGATTGATTCATTGCTCCTCAAGCCTTTACTATGCGTGAAAACTTGTTATGTACAGCAGGGTGTCTAGCGACTCAGAAAACCGGGAATTGTCAGGGATATAGTCAAAAAGCGAGCCCAGTCAGGGAAAATGAGCCGGAAACACCATTGAGTGCCCTGAGCGAAAAGTTGAGGACTTGGGGGCAGAAAAACATGCAATAAATTATGCTTAGAGCAGAGCACGGGCTCAGCTCACCCAATGTAGAGTGTGCTGCCTGATGCAAGGGGAACAGCCGACAAATCTAGTCCAAGCCTTGAATTGGATTGAGGGCGTGACACTAAACTAGATCCAATTAGAGCTTCGAGATTTAGTAACAAAGGGGAAAGCTGCAGACCCCAATCCAAGCCTTAAGCCGAAAGTGTGCATCTGGCACTGATGCTGCTATTCGATTATTGATGTATATGGTTGAGTGTCGTGTTTTCATGGTGTTTCCAGAAGTGGCCTCTTCACTGACGATATCGGCGGCAAGAAAGTGCTCGTTTAATTTGGAGTGGACGAACCCAAATATTTTGGAATATGCAAGTTGGATTAAGCCCGTGCAAAATGATCCTCACAGTGCTCAATGCCTTGTGTTGTGATGGTCTTATATATTTAACCGCCTCTACAGTGGTCGGGGAATTTCACCTGAAATTGTCAGGGAAAACCTGGAAAAGTCAGGAATTTTCAAAATAATAATTTGCTAAACATTCTGGTACAGTATTCCCCCCCCCCCCCCCCCCCAAAAAAAAAAAAAATATACAAGTGCAAGGTTTTTTTTTTTTTTTTTCGTTGCTGTTTTTTTTAATAAAGTGTGTTTTGCCAAATGTTTAGTGTCTGCCGAAATCTAGCGTTAGCAGTCTGGACCACATGCCAAAGTTTCAGAACGAATCATTATCTTATTAAGAAAATCAAGTGATTTTCTTAAATTTTCAGTGGGAAAATGGCAGCTGATGGAGCTCTCGAATACATGGGGCTGAATGGCGCGTCGCCAACAGTGGGCCTCACTTTTCCATTTAAATTTTCAGTTCTGAAACTTTGGCATCTGGTACTGATCACTAGTGCTACATTTGGGTGGAGACAGAGTTTGACGATGCACATTTTACTTTTGCACAATGCATAATTTAGTTTCGCAATTAAAACGCACCATTTTTTTGCTTCTTTGTTTTTCCGGGGGCGTTTGTTAAGTATGTGGCATGAAAATTACTTTCTGCCACTTTCGAGGCACGCATTATTTGTCTCCCTTGCGCCGAGCTTGCCGTGCAGCACATTGCCACATTTTTCTTTGTTGCTCTTCCCCTTCTTTTGCACGTACCCGCTGGAAGTCGGCGTTAAATAATGCGGGGGTTCACGACGACTCTTCCAGGACGATTCCTGCGAGGACATCATCCGCCTGACGGAGCAGTGGTACGACGCCTTCGGCGAAGCCCCCACCAGGCTCCTGCTGGGCGTCTGCAAGCAGCCCTTCCCGGACCTCCGTTGCTCCGCCCTGGGAGTGGTCTGCGAGGTGGCCCACAGCCCGTGGGGCCAGGCCGCTTTGGCCAGCCACCCGGGCTTCCTGGAGTACCTGCTCGATCGCTCCACAGAGTCCGACAAGGAAGGCAAGGAGGCCAAGTTTGCCATCGTGGCCGCGCTCGCGCAGTGTCCGTCCCAACCTCGGGGTTTCTCGTCGGAAGACTGGCAGAGGATCAGGACCGCCCACAAGGAAGGGCCGTTTTACGTCGCGGCTGAGGCAGCCGTCGCTTTCGAGGGCTCCTCGTGAAGAAAGTGGAGTCGCCGAAGTACACTTGCATCTTTTTGTCGCCTCGGCGTTGTTCCGTTGTGCATGCATACTCGGAACGTGAAAGAGTGTTCTTTGCAGACGAGTAAAGAAACGTGCAAGAAAACGTCATAGAGGATGTCCTTCGTTGCTGGGTTTAGACTCTACACACTGCCGTCCTAAGATCGGTTTGCGTTACATGCCTAATTAATTGAAGGGTAGAGGCAGTAATATTACCATTTTAATGCTTCCAATTGTGCCTTTTGGCACGCTGATCTGGATTGAATCAGGCGAGGATACATACTGTGCCCCCGTCTATAGCGCAATTTTAAGCTTAGATTAAAGGGACATGCCAAAACAAACAGCCTAGCATTTGATCTGCGGACCGAGAAATTTGTGCGTGCCTACACTAAAGAGTTTCCGACACCTTTCTAGATATGTTCACATATCTTTGTCTTTACCAGTACCGAAGAGACTACTGTACTCTGTTTCACAATAACTTGGCGAACTGTGGAGGCTACAGCTCCTGCGACCCAGTAAGAACATTGGAGCAAGGCACATGGCAGCACGTCATGGCAGCGTTTGTGTCGCTGCGCCAAATGTGCGGCCCGGCCAGTGGAACCAGCTGTCGTCTGCAGCGAAACCAAACAACTTCGGATGAACGTCCACTGCCGCAACATTGCCGTTCACTAAAGTAGCGAGCCCTTCAGGAACACTTCATGGCTGCAATCGTTCAAAAGCCACGTTTTTCTCAAAAAAGTGTTGATCCGTATTAGGTGTCGTTGAAAAGTAACATGTCTTAGTTTTTTTTCCGTGTCATGCAGCGTTGCAATCAGAAGTGTTCGATGGCAACACTACTCAAAGAAAAAGAAGCATAGAACTACCTCTTGTCGCGGACGGCGCTGTTGCTGTAGCAGTATAGCAGTAATGAGGCCTCCGTAGCCTCAACGATGGAGTGTTGTCACGTGCCTTGCTCTAACGCTCTTGTTCGGTCGCGGGGGCCGCAGTTTTCACAGTTCGCTAAGTTATCATGAAACAGAGTATAATCCACAAAGCAAAATACAATTACACTAGGAAAAGCATTGAAGAGCGATGCTTTAAAAAGATACAGCAAACGTGAAAGTTAAAGGTAATAAACCTACCACTAAAGACATAACATTGAACTCGTAGAAAAGCTAACAATGTTGCTTCCTGGATTTTGATTAAAAGATGAGAGTTGCGGAATCAACCTTTTAGCAGCGTTTGCTTTTTTGCCGCAAAGTTTCCGTTAGATCAAGCAAAGCTTGCATGGCACGATTTTTAAAAGTATGCCTGCGGATTGGGTCTTCTGGGTAAGGCATACGAGGGGCGTTTATGAAGTTTGTATTATTACCACGAAGCAAGAGATGCAGTCATGAATGTCGGCGATAAGGATAGTGCATCTCCACACATGCATCATACGAGGCAACACACTTCTTCCATCGATTGATGAGCTGGGAGACACACTGGTTGTAAAAGTCCTAATTTTTGGCCCTTGAAAAAGTGTTCCACCTCGTCATCGTCACGCTCGCAATGGGTTCTTCATGAGAGGAGGCAGTCGCTAGGTGCCAGGGTAGGTAAATACGGGGGCGGAATTTCTCTGCCTAAAGCTGTCGCGTGCGTCAACGTCTGCTGCTGCAAATGAGCCTGTGCGTTGTGGTGGAGCAAATGCAATTCTTTTGATCAGCTTCCCGCAACGCTTGATGACCTCCCGTTTCCTAGTCAGGAGGCCTCGGTAATCCTTGAGGCTGTTTGGCGCTAATCATCACCTTCCCCGATGACGGATCCGCCTTGTCCTTTTTTTGGTGGTATCGAATTTGCGTGCTTCCACTGTTCGCTTTGTTTCTTAGCCTCGGGGTCATATTGGTGCACCGAATACTCATCCATGGTGTAGGCAACGAATGGAGTCGTCGGGGTCAACTTGTCTTTGCATGGGCCCAAGCAGTCACAGAACTTAGTGGGCGGGGATTTTCATGTGAAAATCTTTGGGCATGTACAAATCATTGGGCATTGCGAGATAAACCTTTCGAATGTGCCGAGACTACAGGAACGTGGGCTGGCCTCAAAGCACAGAGTTTGGCGATGATTTCTTTTTCTCTGCTGCCAATAATGCAGACTTTTTAAATGCAGCTTGACAATGTGGATGCTTGGGCTAGTTGGTAATTCATGCTTGGATAGAACAGCGCAGATATAGAGTTGCACTCACAGGCACACAAGAAGGAAACAGCGCTGCGAGTCTGTTTCCTTCTTGTGTGACTGTATATCCAAGCTGTTCTATCCAAGCTTTTTAAATGCCCCCCATATTTGTACAACTGAATTTCCCATGTTTACAATTTAATAGTTGGAGTTCAAGAACACAATTTTATTGTAAAACCTTTCCAAAAGATACGCAGGACAAATAAAATTACTGCCTTTGTGTCAACAAATATGGCAAATATCACAAAGAGGATAAAGTTGGTTGTCACCTTTGGCACGTGGTATTGAGTAGAAAGTAAACTTTAAAAGTGAGATAACCTTGCAGTGTAAAAAACCGCATTGCTCCAAAAAGTAAGAAGTGTTTTGATCTGTTTTTAAGTAAGTCTTCTGTGTTCGGAATGCTCGTTACTCGGTGCTGAAGCTGCAGTGGACACCAAATTGTTTTTGGAAAAGACAAGAAAAACATGGATCACTGAAACTGCTGCAGAAGGTCTCTAGAATGCTTTCGCAGTTCCCCTGCTAGCTTCACAGCCACATCCAGAGCTGAGCAGATCTGAAAAAAATCCGAAAGGGTAATGAAAGGCTAACATGGAAAACATACCACATGACCCAATCACCTGTTTCAGAAAATTACCTTGTCAAATGGAATGTCAGCAAAATCCTTTACTTGAGTGGCAGCACTAGACCTAAGGGAAAACATTTCATAAATTATGTTCACTCCATTACCGAGCAACATGCCAGATGTTTGACTCCAGTGGTTAACAAACAACAGGTTTGTTGTCAGTACCTTCTTTGGGTATCCCCATCATGTCTAGCACTGCTGCCCGCAGGTTTTGAGTTGCACACTTTCTGCACAGGGTTGTCAGATGTTAGGCCCTTGGAGTGTTGCAAGTGTTGGCAGCAACAGCACGAATGGGCCATGCAGCAACCCTGTGAACAACATACATGAAAGGATTAGTTCAGGGCATTTTCGAGGGTTTCCCCAGACAGACTGTAATGAAATGCCTGTCATTAAGAGACTGGCAAAACATGGGGCACATGCCATACACGAACTTACCACGGAGCACAGTTCTGCATTCCGCTGTGCAGGGTAGACCACAGCAATCTGGTGGTAATTTGGCTGCACCAAGGCCGCTTTCTTGCTGTGGCCCGTGGCTACACGTTCTGCCACGTGCTGGTCTCGGCTCCTGCTACTGTGTCCAGCAGCATCCTCGTATTCTTCGGTTGTTCTTGGGACCACATTCCTGACATCGTCTTGAACAATCGCGACTGCCGAGTCGACCTCATCAACCAGAACCGGTGCATTGTGGCTGTGCCATGCGTCGGAAGCTGCAAAGAGTCTGCTGAACAATTCCAGTCCGACGGAGCTCGACGACTCACTCGTGGTCGATACTACGTTGGTCGGAGTTTTGGGTGCTTCGTACGAGCTTGTATCGAAGCCAGTCGAGATGTGGTGATTTTCGAGCGTGGCCCTCTGGTCATCTTGTGGAGACGAGGATCGCAACTTGGGGTTCATCGGGCCGTTAACGATGGGCGTCACGTCGGCTCTGCCCTTCAGCTGGTCCGTGGTGTACCTCATGATTTCGTTTCCATCGACGCGGAACTCTTCAAGCTGAAGCATCAAAGCGTCGTACTTGATCCTTAGCTGGGAGGAGTCGTCGCTGGAGTTGACGTTGCAGGCTAGTTGGCATTTGAGCTGGTCTATGATGTTCAACGCTCTGGAATATTTTAGCAGTAACTGGCTGTACTGCTGGTGGACTTCGGTAAGCGTGTTATTTATCGCCTCGATGTCCACTTCGGGCTCGCGCGTGCCACGACCGCTTTGCGACTCCTCGTCGCTGAGCAGAAGCTCGGAGTCGCTCGACTCCATTGCAGCAGACGTCAGGAGCTGGAGGCCTCGGCTCAGTCGTGTCGTAGTTCCATCGTCTGGTTCGGGGGAACCTGCATCTAACAAAATGCAACATCCGATGATTCTCGCCTTTGGGCACAACGCATGGTTACGCACTTGGGCATATGGTGTACGTTTTACGTCACGCAGGAGAAAGTCTCGCAAAGCGTGTCTAGTGTCGAAGCTGCGATCACAAAAAGCCACACGTACAAGGCTTTCTTTCTTTCTTTCTTTAGAATTTTGTGGGAGATTTAGGTTGTAAAACATCAAAAACTTACCCCGAATCCCTTGGATTTCATCCAGTGCTACGCATCGTACGCTTGTTTGTCTTTCGTTGTTATGACAACCATTGTGGCTATCGAACTGCCCGAACTTCGCCAAATTTGGCGTCACAAAAATGCGTTTATTTTTTGTCTTTTACGGAGAAAATTTAACAAAGTTTTGTGAATATTTGTAGGTCATGTCAATGATTAAACATAATTTGCGTCTGCCTGTCAACGTTAGTAATAGTAGTGGTAGTGGCAGCTCATTTATTTTCGTTTCTAGAGTCATCCATCCATTTGTAATCGAAACGAACTGTAACTCGGGCGACGCGATCCTGCTTTTGTTTGATTTCGTCCGCTGGAGCGTGGGACATTTAATATGAACCAGCCTGGACAGCTCGGCAGCGGCTCGGGCAAAGGCGGCGGTGCTGGGGGCAGCATCCGGGAGGCCGGCGGAGCCTTCGGCACAGCGGGGGCCGCCAAGGAAGAGGCGTACTTCCGCAAGCAGCAAGCGGATCAACTGGAAGCAATGCGCAAAGCCGCCCAGCAGGCTTCTCAGGGCAAGGGTGCCTCTCAGGGGCCTGGGAAATAACCTGTGTGACAGCCACGCGGTCGAACAAAGATAAAAATATCTCGAGTCAGAAGTAATGCGGCACCGCGGGCCTCATATGTGGGCCAAAGGGCTTTCTACGTGATGTCGCAGCCCCCTCGGGGTTGAATAAAGATTACGATTATCCGAAATTAAAACTACACGAGCTTTTCTCGCCGCCTTCCTCGCACTGTTCTTAGTAAGAAAAAAAAAGTACTAAAAATTAATTGTGTTTCAGAACGTTTATGACGTTTCATACGTTAGGTGACGCCGATCAAGTCAACGCGTCAACCTAAAAAAGACTCTCTCACTTCTAACTGCAGGACCTAGGTCGCGTGCAGGTCATACCCAATAGTTATTTGTTGATACCATGTTACGTTGCCATTATTTCAAGGTTGGAAAGTTGGGTTTGTTGCGAGTTGTCTCGAGCAAGCCTACTTCTCCACATGACACGCATGTGCTGCGTGAAAGTATCCACGTGCATAAAAAGCGACCAGCAGTCAGGGGAGAGAGTTAGGGTGATTGATTGAAGCGTACATGTTCCAGCAAATTAGCACCACTGCAGGGCATCACTGCCCATGCGAGTAAATGTAAATTCACATATGTTCAAGAAAATGCATATTTCGTTATTCCTAAAACCATAAAACTAAAGTAATGGGCGGTAATTATACTATGAAGATTGAGTAGCTACGCTTTTTATGAAACAATCGCAGGCTCGACAGGTGGCTACCAGTACCATGTCCCACTCAGTTTCAATCAGTCTTATTTTTTTAGGTTTGCTCACCTCCCCACATTTTTAAACAAATGATGTACTGTAAGAAGATCCTGAGAGATGCCCCACTCCCGAAAGAAAGCCCACCCCTATTTTTGGCTTGATTTGCTATATTTTTTTAAACACCGAAAGATAGCCCACTGATCAATGATGGCTTCAGCATAAAAGCGGCTAATTTGCTATGGCGGGATATAAGCGAACGTTGCCAACTGGAAGTACAGTCGTGTTGGCTTCGTTGCCCCTTGCCACCATAACAGACACAACCTAAAAATAGCTCTTTTTTAAACTTCCTTGATTGTACACCGAAAGTTAGCCCACTCCATATTTTCAGCCGATTTGCTCTTGACATTAGGTGGGCTATCTGAGCCCATCTCTGAAGATTTTACATTAAACAATAAGATTCGCCTACAAATGCTTTAGAAACAAGATGTAGGCCAGCTGACACAAATCCAGCATTATAGACTAGACCAGGGAAAGGTCAATGCTAAAGTATAAACACAAACACATGTATATACAAACCATTGTTTTGTTGGTCCATTTTTGTTGTTTTGTTGTCTCAGATTTTATTGTTTCTTTTGCTTCTGAAATGTTGACTGACGAAAACAGTAGCTGGCATTATACGTGGCAAAGACAGACATGGCAGGGGCAGATTTAGAGGGGGGTCTGGATGTCCTGACCCACCCTCTTGAATTTTGCATGTGTAAACATTTAAGGTAGGGTGAGGAAGGCGGCGGGGTGGGGGGGAGTGTGAATTTGTCAAATAGGGCAAGTTGTCATAGGCCATCTCGTGCACAGGGAAGCCGCAACGGAGGGCAACCGGACATTTGTCCACTTCGTCACAATTTAGCTTTTTTGCCAGCCATGCGTTTGTAATGCGACTTCGCTAACTAATGATGAATAATTATTTACACTTTCATTACGTGTCCGCCAGCGTCCACCCTGCTTTGGTGACAGGCTACGACAGTACGAGAAAGGCATGTGTGTCAGTGCACCGTCGATTGCGTCATATAAAAAAGAGATTGCATATCTTGTACAGACTGAAGCAACTGAATGATGTTAGCAGTGTTAATTGTAGCACGTTTAAGATTACGCAGGTTTACGTATCCTTCATAGCAAAACCAGTTGTAAGTCAGCGTTTGGCCTCTCCAGATTTTTGACTCGTCCTTTTTCTTTTCTCCATTTTTTTTTTTTTTTTTTTGCCTTGCAGAAACAAACTTTTTTGAAAAATGTTCCCCCAATTACTAGAATCTCCGAACATCTTGAACAATGAAGTACAGAGATGCCACCAAAGACGGTACTTAACAACTGCTATGCTTCCTAACATCATGATGTAGAGGTCACAACCGCCGCCTGCAAACATACAAAAGAGGCCAGTTCTCAAACTAAAACAAAACCACTCGAACCCCAGAAAAAGAAAAAGTATGTGACGAATTTCTTAAAAACAGTGCAACCACTCGCCTTACTACGGGATCACCTAGAAGGATATGCCCTCTTTGACCAGTTCACCTATGACGAGTTGGCCGAGACTAGTGGGCTCGTTCCCCTTTATGCTCACCACCCCCCTCTGGAAATACCTGCATTTGCCCCTGCATATAAGCCATACACAGCTAGCTAAGCTCCTCAGGCATAGCAATTTTTTTAACCACGCAGAATGAGCCCTCTTTGGAGACGAGTGATGAACCTCACAAATTTGAAGAACCAATTTTATTGTTAAAAGATGCAGATTGTAGGGAGAGAGGTGACACACTGCAATATATCTAGGAAGAAAAAGTGACATAGTAGGAGCAGAATAACGCTCCAGGGGTAGAGTTTACACACTGCCGTTAAATCTAGGTTGAATATATTAAAATACAAAATGATACATGTACATAGATTGCAAGTGGAGTCACGTTCAACAACCAGACCACAGGCATATGCTTCATTTGCACAGCTTAACTTAGCACACATTTGCCTGGAAAAAAACTGAGGGAAGAGGCTCCACTGAGCATGCTTATTCTGGGAGTAGCATGGTTTATTATTAGTTTGCACAAAAAGCATTCTTTAGACACTTTTTTTTAACTTTCATTAGGATCTAGCATGCTTCATCAGTGTCTGAAAAGCTTACATCCACTAAACTTGCACGACTTATTGAAGTTCAACATGGCGTTCGTAGGGTGCACGCATATTGCACCTTGTAAACTGACATTAGCTCTCGCATACACTCTTACATTTTCGTTGGGATTACTATGAATGCTGTTCTTATCTCTAAATGTAGGTATTCTCCAAAGCCAGCTAAAATACATGTCACCTCCCGAAGGTAGAAGCACGATACTTGGCATATCTTTTCCAGTGGATTAACGGTACTCTTAAGTGCTATTTGATGTAAACAGTGAACTGCTTGAAAAGTCTATATTTTCAGCATAACATGGTTCAGTGTCATGATGAACCATTAGTTTTTCAAGTAAAGCTACAGTGCTCAGAGAACTCCCTACAATCACCATGCAGTCATAAAATTCGAGCCAAGTGGTATATTTGAGACATACAGACTAAAACTGTAATTATAGTTACACTTCATCTGTATGCGCAGTGAAAGGTAAAAAAAATCTTGTAATCTTGGAGAGCTAGAACGCTCAAAGCTGGAGACGAACTCGCATTGGATTGCGATCCGACCGATCAAGGTCTTGCCTGAACAGGTCTGGTTTTCGGCATCCCTCTAGGCTCGCTTATGTTTCAAACAGATTTGTGAATGAAAGTGTGCAGTAATGTGGGAGGGGTGTCCCCCATCCCAAACAATGCTCATATAGTATTTAGAGCAGACATTTTTCGTTCCACGCATCCTTACTCTAACTACGGGCTCTTTCGTTCTTATACAACCTGGAATTGCGTTTAATGCACAGAAGGTAGAATTGTACCATCAGCGAGTTTATCAAGTTCAGAGTAATCTGGAGTAAAGAAACAAAGAAAACAAAAAAAGAAGGAACAAATTCAAGCTTTCAATACAGCAGGACTTTACATTTTTGCCTAGCATCAGGAGTGATTGAAGGTCCTGGACCTCGACGTCAAATTATATATACTTTTTAACATTAACAAGCACAGACAACAACCATGAGTATGGAAATAGATGTCATGAATCTGAATATTTCAAACTGTGATATTTAGAACAAGTTTAAGCAGGGACATCGAGTGTTGTGTTATGGATGTAATGGGCTGTATCTTGGGTAATGTAAAACACTGCAGGCATCCTCCAAGTCCTGTGAGCTTGATACAAAACAATCTTTGGGTGTATCTGAGAGGACTGTCACTGCCTCATTTCTGATGCAGAAACAATTTAAAAATGCAGGAGCCATTTGCTATTAAGAGTGCGACTTGTGACCAGAACAAAAGCAAAAGCAAACGAAACAAACTAGTTTCAGTAATAATAACCGACTGGCACTAGTATGTGCCAAACTTAGGAGCCTAAAGTCCTCCAAGTCCATAATTCTGCTGTGGGAATCAAATGTGTGTAATGAGAGAATTCAGGTTTTATGGCTTTTCAATGTTTAGCAGGTTGCTAGATCATGAAAAATTAGCATCAATTAAAGTTTGCTGTCAGTTTTGATATTGTCCTTAACGCTAATATTAATAGAACATATTGAAGCACTTGGCAACAGTAAAGATAATGTTCTCTATATTTTTTCCGTCTTTTTTTTTTTTTTTTATTTGTCACCTAGTAGCACAACTCTTACACCACTATTTTTTAAAAGACTTCCCTGTCAGTTTTTGAAAGTTGACGCAGACTTCAAGGCACCAATAGTTAAGCTGCATGAGAAATATTTGCCTAGGTGATAACTACCCAATATACCTTTCACAAGCACCATGTACACTATGTAACACCGTGCGCTGTATATAAATGAAAGTAGGCAACCAAAACAAAAGCAAAACAGGAGACCAGTAGAAACCAAAATAAACAGTGGGAGTGTGTATATCTTTAATTTATAAATATCAGGTTTCATATGATAGAACTCTTTGTAGCTGCACAATTCTCTTGTTTTCTAATGTGAGGTATGTGCATTATAACAAACATAGATGTAAAACTTCACATCAACAAAATAGGCAAAAAAAACAAGAGGAATATAGAAAAAAAATGCAACGAAACAAAACTTTCAAGTATCGGGTAAAATACAGAAACATTTCGATATTACGAGGCAAACTTCAATGAACGGTCCTTCGCGACAAGAGGAAAGACACCATAAACTGGCTTCAAAATCATCCCAAAAACTCTCGGTAATCCGGAGGAGGCATCGTCGGAAATGCAAGGGGCCCAGGAAGGAGAAAGTACGGCAAAAGCGAAAAGCACCAGGGGCATTTTTTTCCTTTTTTTTTTTTTCTTCCTTTGAGAATAGCAACAGAAGCAAAACAAATATCACAGTACAAAACACGGACACACGGCGGAGAGTAGCTACTGGGGCAGCACTACGTGGAACGCACGTGACATGCCATTGCTCACGTGTCAACCTTGTAGGAGCGGCTCGGGGAGAAAAAGAGGAAGAGAGAGAGCATTCAAACCAGAAAAACCCCGGCGCTCGCTCGGGGCGAGAGGTAGCTCAGTTTTTCTCCCTTTCCTCTTTTCCCCCCTTGACGCTCGCTTCCGCCACCGACCACCGAGGTGCTGTGGGTGGCTCAGAAAGGACAGCTCCGGAGGGCCGTGCATGTCAACAGTGGTGTCTTTAACTAGCATGAGGTGCAAGAACAGCGAGGACGACGTGCAACCGCTCATATGGTGCAAACAGATGTGTAATGCCACGTTTGTTTGAATACACGGCAACCGTTACAACCCCAGCATAGTATGGTAGTCCCTTAGAGAAACCCACAGTGATTAGTGTATCGATTCGCTGTGGTTGTCCACCCTCGCTTGCGGCAACTTCGGGTCATTTGGACAGCAGTCGACAGTGGCTCAAGGGTGTTTTCTCGTATCTACCGAACCCACACCTACTTGCTGGCCTAAGTTAGCTGTGAAAAGTTTGGTGCTGTTTTAGTGTTGTACTAGCACAGTTGACAAATTGTGCAATCAAAAGCGCAGCACTATGTCCGGCTCCCACGAAGATTGCAGTTTCCATCCTTGTTGCTACAAAATATTTTAAGGTTCCTGAAATTCTCATTTACATCAAAATGAACAAGGGCAATACTTTCTTTAGGAAAGCAACGGATACACAAAGAAAAAAGATCACTCTCGTCCACTCGTGAACAGGGCACTCCGTTCCTTCGAGAGTGTGCCACGGAGGAAGATAGTAGTATACACAAGAACAAACTATCGAGTTAGTATGCTTAAAGGTAAAGCATTTCATGACTGAGTACATGTGCTTAGGCATCGGGGCAACAGGTGCAACAGGTGCAACAGAGAAAACATACCTGCTGAAATGGTAGTGATCTATACAGTGTTCATTTCTTTTTCTTTCCGCCAAAAGCTAGCGAAGCTCTGTTCACGAGCCAAAGTCGTTTTCGGGCCTGCTCAGTTGCGGCCGCTCTTTAAACATACACTGCACAAACAGCACTTGGGGATTGTAAACACAAAGTCAGGAGGTAAACCAGGGCAAGTTTCACCAAACCTGCAAGGACAAGGCTGTGTTCCCCCCCGCCCCCCTCTCCTTCTCCTCCTCCCAAAAAAGTGCAGTTGTTCTGCTCTCGCTTTTCTGCGTGCACAAACCCGCATGCCCCAAAATTCCAGGAATCCTGGACCGCTATTCTGCGAGCCATGGACAACGCAGCCTCACGGTCAATGCTACACTGACACTTTCACAAACAAGTGCACAAGAAAAAGGCAATTCAACTTAGTTTTTTTTCACAGCTAGCTGATCCTCAGCCAACGCAATAGTGCGCGCTCGTATGGGCAGCGAGTTTCATCCCGTCTCCTAGCGTCACCCAAGGCTAGCAGAACTCGGCCCAAGGTCAATGTGCCGGGCAGGCAAAGACGTGCAGAAACTGGAAAAAGGCATTCGGAAGGTTGTACGGAAGAGAAGCCCGGCGGGCAGAAGTAACGCCCAACAGAAACAGCGGAGAAAGACCGACAAGGAGCGGGGAAACCTCCAGTGAGTATGACACGTCGGAAAGGGGAACGGAAAGAGAGGGAGGGGGCGTGTATGAGTGGCGTTGTGGAGGCAAGGTTCTAGGCGGGCGGCGCTACTTGGCGGCCGGGTCGGGGTGCATGCCCGACGAGTTTCCCGAGCGGTGGAAGTGCACGTTCTGCCACTTGGTGTCCTTCCGGTGCCAGACGCGGGTCTCCTCCGTCTGCCGCGTGCGTGCAATGCCAGCCCTGTGAGGAATAGTATTTGAAGCTGTCAGTTTGGTATAGGCTTGTAAGTAGACTGGTAGCTACTGCCCTGGCCTGGGGCTCGTCTCTAAAGCACCAAACTGAGCTCCTTCGTTGCTCGAAAGCGCATTTTGCTGTTTACAGGCTGAGAAGATAGCCGTAAACAGCGAATTGCTTATGAAAGCGAGACACGCCAAGTTATCTTCCTGTGCCTCAAAGCACGATATATATCCGGGTGCAAACGCTGCTTTTCCCCGCAAGTTCCCCCACTTTCACATGCATGCTCCTGACATTCTGAAATAAACGACTGCAAGGCAGCAGAATGCGTAGATGTGTATATGACATTGAGATTAATTAAGGAACTGTATGGGGCAGTTCCATTTTGACAATGCTGATTCAAGGCTGGGCAGTTTTGTTTCCCTATACAAATGCAGTGACTCCAGAATTGAGAAGTTTGCATTGAAGACAGTCCACCTGTGGCTTCTACCAACACTGTAATGGGCGACCTTCTTTGTTTCGGGTAACCTGGCCCAGGCATATTTGCTTCTTGCTTTGGTCTTCTGCGTTTTCTAATGCCAATGTCATTGACTGTGGAGCGATAAGGTGCTCAGAACTCGCCACATCCTCAGGTTTTTTTAAACTGTCGGTGACTGTAATTACTATTGCGATTAAAGTGAGAACGAGTGACTGCATGATTTACTACAACATGCGCATGTATGGATGCGGCTTAATGCTTCAACGCATGTCAGGAAGCACTTGACATGTGGTCTTAGTTGTGCTCACCTGTCAATGTACTGCATGAGGCGAATGTATGCAATGCAGGCAGCATCGTCCCCTAGTAGGTGCACAGTAGGGTTTATTATCGTTGTGTTCTGGGACTTGTAGCTCTTTCCTGCACCTGGAGCAGAAGAAGCGGAGGCGGAGTTTAGTCACGAGTCCAACTGCTGTCACTAGTAGAAACTCTTTAGACAGCTATCACAAATGCAAGCCATACGACATTTACTCTAAATAGCAGAGGCAACAATCTAGGACTCTATGCGCCATCTATGTCTTGCCTTTTTCAGCCGTTTCCGCATCAACAGATGGCTGTGGAAAAGCTTAAGGGGCTCAAACATATTGGAGGTGTAAGGTTGTTATTCAGCCTGGTTGGAGTTGCGAGTAGCAATAACGAGACGCAACATAATTAAGCAAAAACCGCGTATATATACGACGGCTCTGCCGCGCACAATGAGTCTCATTATCCATAGATTAAGGTCACGAGCCCTTTCTCATACGTTTTATATTACCTTTATTCATTTGTAGGGTTGTTTTTCATGGCATCCACAAAAACCGAGTTTGTTTCTCTTTGGAAACCAACACTTCAAATTGACTAATGAAACAAGGCATACATTTGATTCTCACCATAGCGGTAGAATTCCAGGAATCATGAAAGCAATAAAATTAAAATAAAACAATGGTTAGTTAGGGCATCATAAAAAAATTCAATCATGATATTCAAACATCTGCTGTAAACACACCTCACAAATTATTGTGTGACAGAAACACTTCCATGAACAATTAACTGTTTTCAAAATAAAATAGATGATCAAAATCTCACTTCAACAAAAAGTTTAATAGAAATTTTCATTCCCAGTGTAAATTTTTTCACTACGGGAGAGCTTCAGTTTAGTGAGTAATTTTTCCTAGGCTCCCAGATAATCACTCAAGAGCAACTTGCACTGGATTATAGAAATACGGATTTAGACTTCAGATACTTGGATAAGTATAGTACAGAAGTTTTATTAATGGACTTAAATTTGTATGCTTTTCCTTGCACACAGAGATACAAGGAAAACTATCCTTTTCCTCTTTGCTCTGTTCTATGTTTCTCACCACCAAAAATGGACTGCAAGCTCTAATTGCAGTTTCGCTACCAATTCTACACTGCCACATTCCAGAAGCTATGGGACCAGTCAATGTTAATACACGAGAGTTCAAAATGGTCCATTGAAACAAAAGACAAATTTTTGAAAGTCATTCACAACACAACTTATTAGCTAAGCAGGAGAAGCTGGTAACGGGATTGATTAGGAAAGCCTTCTAGTGTCAAGAAAATGTAAGGACATCAGGCAATTGCACTTCAAAATGCTTCTACATTAAAAAAAAAGAAGCCAAACAATGTAATACTTATTAGACAGCAGCTCAGTGTGATACACTCCATGCCGTGACATACCATGTTCAAGCTATTTACATGTCTTAGTACAGTAGGTATCATATAGCACTAGCATAAAAAGCTCTCATGCAAGTTAGATGTGCACATTTGTTTGCATGGCTATGGCCACTGTGAGTCTACTACAAAAAAGGGTTAGCCAAGCCAACATGAAAAAGTCCCTCCCTAGATGTTGCCATCTAGAGGTTGCAGCATTCTTCAGATCGTGTAATTTATCACTTACAGATATAGTAGCTTTTTATTTTTTTCCTCAGGATTCTATGAGTGTATTGTCAATAAACATGAATATCCTAACTATGTCTGCTGTGAATACCTTCATTCTATACTAGCAAGATTGAATGCATATGCAGTCCAGCTAGTTCAAACTTTCACCATATAGCACATGTCTGATTTTTATGACACAAGGTCATCAAATTACCCCTTTTTATAACTCGGGATGTTAGTAGCCTCCAATATGTTTGCTACAATATTGTGCATGGGTCATAAGATGGGTCTCAAAGCTGCCTGCCTATACTGAATATATAGCCCTTTAAATGAGGTAAGGTGTTAAACACATTTCGTTTTACTAAAGATCACAAGCTATTAATAAACTATATTAGGTGATTGAAATAATGCCGGTAAAGACGGTGCAGTACTATAAAGCACTAATAAGATGGCTAAAAGTGATGATTTGGTTTGGCACCCCTCGTGAAGTGTTTTTGAACGTCCCCATATTATATAATTCACACAAATTTTTTTTTTTCTTCACATCCCTTAGGTTAGTGTCACTGTGAGAGTGCCGCTTCCAAATGCGAGATCAACAGAACCATGCAGTACCATTGTCGAAATAAAACTTGTGGAACTCCATCCCTTCCACTAAGTTACCTAGAGCTTCAGGCTCAAATGCAGTCAAGTGGGGGTCGCACAGCTTTCTGAAAACAGAAAAAAGGTTTGCACAACAATGTGAGCCAAGCAATCTGCTTTGTTTTATTAATGTATGAGGCTTAATCAAACAAAAGATTACATGTCACAGAGGCACACAGGCATCCCAAAGGACTGACCAACTAACAAAGCAAATGAAGAAAAAAAAAGCAGTGTGTACTTCTTGTTTTATATCTGATAAAATCCAACATAAGATATGTTTCTGAATCTGTAATTCTCTGCGCAGTCGTTTATGTATTCAGACTCGTACCACAAACCACACTGGTTGTTGCGATGGCCATATCATCACTTACACCAGCCAATCAGAGTGAGGTACCATCTGTGAGGGAAGCCCTGCTATGTCAGGAACACTATTACAATGGTCACCAAAGTTCGAGACGTACCAAGTCACCAAACTCCTCTACATTTGGCGAGCGAGACATCACCCACCAAATCAGCAGACGGAGGTCATGTGACCACCGTTACGCTGTTGACGTCACTTCCATGTTGCTTTCCGTGTCGGCTTTTTATCGTAATCTAAAGCTTGAGAAACGGAGGAAATAAAATAATGAACAAGACGACACATTATTTTATTTCCTCCGTGTCTCAGGGTGTAAATTATGATGATTCCTAACCTACTCGCCTGCACACTTTCTCTTCTTGCTTTTTTTATGTCTGTCTTTCCAAGATGGTCTCCCCTATAAAGTTTTCTAGGATAAAGGAGGGCTGCATGTCTAAGGCTGTGTTCTTTAAATCCTTGATGGGTTGCAATGTTTCATATTTTTTAAAGGCACACTGAAGAAAATTTTATGTCTGCATTTAAAAACTGAACCATAAAGTAAATATGTATTCAGAGCTGTTGTGCGAATGATGAAGTTCCATTTTGGAGATATGCTTCACAGTATTCTAGAAACATGATAAGCAGGCCAGATGTAAACTGGTGGCATTTCCATAGTCATTAGTGAAAAGTTGTCTAGAGTGGACAGTTGGGCTATTTGGTATACATCCATGACGAAAAAGAATGCAAAAAACACAAGGACACAGAAGAGAGAATTACACACGATCAAGGCACTGTCCTGTGTGTGATTCTCTCCTCTGTGTCCTTGTGTTTTTTGCACTGTTTTTTATCATGACAAGTTGAGACATAATGAGATCAATATGTGAAATTAAGAGCGCAAATACAACAAGGAAGGATAGACAAGGGAGACAGGATAGAGCCCTTGTCTATCCTTCCTTGTCGTATTTGCGCTGTTAATTCCACATAATAATCAACCGACTAGCCCACCAGATGATCGTAATGAGATCAATGTCACGATATAAAGGATATAGAAAGAAATGGCCATTAAGCACTGTGCTGTCAAGTGCACAAGAATGAACAGATAGCTCTCATGAGCCCTTTGGTTGCATAAGCATTTCCCAAAGAACCTTCTACGACAACTGCTTTAACACTGGTGTCTCATCTGTAATTTTTCACTGTTCCACTACAAAAAAAAAAAAATAATAGATAAGTTTTAGCATCACTGTTTTTCAAGGACAGTTTGTAAAATACGTTTTGAAAAATACCCTCAAAATTAACACAGCACGTTCACAGCTCTACAGAGTTTTACTTGGACCTCCGAATCCACCGACGCTAAAACTGTGGCTGGTACTCACGTGTAAGTTTCGTAGTCTCCCCCATTGATGGACTCAATGAGTTGCTCAGTGAGCTTGACAATCTCTTGCTTGCGTGCTGTGGGTCAAGAGAGCAACAATAAACCAGTGTCCCAAATGTTTTGTCTACAAGCAATCTAGCCCTCAAAAGCACACTCTCCAAACATGGAAATAATTGCAGAATTCATATCCATACAGCAGCCAGTGCAAATTCGCTTGACGGTTCATATTTAGTAGTGTGCCATTTATTCCGTCCTTAAAACAAATGCATAATGAAGGACTAGTTTCTTTCAAGCCTCGTCATGAGTAGACATTTAGGCTGCACTTTTGGCTTCAACAAGCGTAGCATATGGCTCTGCAGGTCGAGATGGGACATAGAGAGCATACTCACGATCATGGGCAGAACCGTTATTGTTCCTTATGGCTGACATCATAGAAAGGAAAGGTTTGTCATGTTACTCAGAGTAGTCATGAAACTACACTAAAGAGTAGTACGCCTTGATCTCTAACCCCATTTCTTATTAGCAGGCTGCTCAAAGCTTGTGCATTCGAAATCAAGCAGCATTTATTTCAAAAGTTAGATACGACTCCATTTCAAAGTAGTAAAAGCTGTGGGATTCTACACAAGCCATTAGAGAGGTAGTTTCTAAGAGACATAGCACTGTTAGGAATTTAAAGGGTATACCTTAAATTAGGCACACACTTATACAACGGTCATTCATATTAGTTGCAACAATAGCCACTTTCCATTTGCAAGTATTATGTATGTGAAATTTAGATCACAAACAATAAAAAAATGTCCTCATTCAGGGACTAAAGTTGTTTTCATATCTTAAAAAGGCACTAAACCACTTTCTACTGTAGTCTATTTATGGTCATAACTCAAAGTACGGGCTCTAAGCATCCTAAGAAAATCACACATTACATTCATGCTTTGCCAAAATCCCTGGTAAAACCACTATCTAAGATAGATTACTTCAGAACCATAGATGGCGCCATCAGACAAGGGGAAGGCCTTCCCTGCTTCTCCTTGTCCGATGGCACCATCTGGTGTCAGCAATAGTTCCGAGGTAATAAATATTTTATACCGATTTTAAATAAAGAAATCGGCCAAGCACAAATGTAATGTTTGGCTTTTTAGGATGCTTAGAGCCCATAGATTGAGTTATGACCACAAATAGACTATTTTATTTATTTATTTATTTATTTAATTTACCTCAAAGCGCCCTTTCGGGCATTGTATGAGGGGGGAGTACAAGGTTTTCGACAAAAATATTGTCGAAAAGAAAAGAGAAAACAGTTTAATGCCCTTTTAATTATTGCATATCTTAAATACTGAGTCAATTTTTAGTGCAGAGTCACTTTACTAGGTGCTGCTGTGCAAAAGGAAAGGGAAAATGAGGGTAGCAGTTGCGTGAGGCCCAAAGGTTTGGGGAAGCAGGTGGCAGATTGTGGTGCTAGAGCGGAAATATTGAAATCTTGGACCATAAGCTTCGTAAAGAAAAAATAAGGAAATAAAATAAATATATGGCTCTACTAACACCTATCTTGCACCAAGGTAAAGAAAAAGAAAAAAAAAACAGTAATAATCTTTCAAAATACTGTCTAATAAGCGAGTGACGAATTTTTTATAAACAATTTTGAAAACTGTCCTAAATGAAATTCTTATTTGTGCCACTATCTCCTACATTCGTAGGCACGTGGAGGTCAGTTAGTTTTACGACTCTTTTCAGCTTCGGTATTAGGGAACTTTTAGTCACATATCACGCGCTGGTATTTCCTCCCTTATTAATATTTTGAAAATGGTCACCATGGCGCTATATTTAGACTTGGTAAATAACAGCCAGTCTGCAAAATGCTTCTAATTTACCTGTGCGCACTGCACCGATGCACGCCCGATGCAAACGATTTTAGCCCACCTCAAATTAGAATGAAAAGCATGACATTGAAATACCATTTGTCTACAAATTCTCAAATAATATTAATGCCTCCAGGAAGCTAGCAGTTATCTGGTGTGACCATAAGTGGCTATCTATGGATGCTACTCATCTGCTTCAATCAGCTAGGTTAAGCCTAAAGGCAAAACTTAAAATTCCAAAAACATACAAGTATCTCACCCTTGTTTACCAAAATTAAACAAGCATATACCAGGTCCTAAGCTGCAGCGACATTGTTTGCGCTTTCCTTACCGTACTCATCTGCTTAAAAAAAAACAGGATGGTGGTCAACACATGTTTTATAGAAATCGAAGTTTCTAGCTTTATTCAGCTGCCACTTGCCTCTGACCATAAAAAGCGATACCTTGCATTATATGTCTTGCAGAAGTTTATTGAGGCTAAGTGGTATAAGCTACCATTGCAAAGGGTGCCAATGCAAAGGCTGCCCATCTACAGGACAGAAAACAACCAGCAATGTTCAAACGGTGGGCTCACTACGCCAAGGCCACACCAGATCAAGCGGGGCTGTACATTTTGGGCCGGTGCAGTAGGCACAGGTATACTATATGAAATGCACCAGATGTTGGCACATGGCCCATTTCAAAGTTCCCTGCACAGCAGTGCCTCCACCGTGATGCGACGCCTGAATTTCACATTCTCTTTCGTTTTGCCAAGCAGATTACGAGCGCTGGGAAGTACCGCGATTTACGAGTGCGCTCATCAATAAAGGAACATTTACGGATGCCCGACAATTACCGTTAAGCAGTAAAATGTTTTCGAAACTGTGCACCATGTCTAGGTAGCTTTCTGCCTAGACCTCAAGGATCTCGTGCTCTTTCGTTTGTTTCTTTAAGGAGGCATACTTAAGGACGCACCACTTCCCCAATCTTCCATATCTTGGGCAGAAAGTAAGGTTTGCGTGTGTCCCGCAGACGTGTCTCCATCTGGCCGTGCACACATGCAAAAATAAAAAATAAAATAAAAAAGAATCGTGCAAAGGGTGCTGCGACTAGCACTTCAAACTGTGCTGGTGTGCTGGGCAGAGAAAACTAGCAATTTAGTGGGGAAAACTGTTTTTTTTTTTTCTTCTTTTAATAAAGACCAACAATCTCACCTGAGGCGCTTAGAAAGGTGATAGTGGGCATCACACTGCATGTGGGGGAGGCTACTGCTCTAGCTAAGTTTGCTACTTGTGTGAGATCTTGCGTGCTTTTGGGGTTCCCCTTGCTATTGACTCCTGGCGACTTAACTGAGAGAACAAAAGGAAACGGGCGAGAGAGTGAGGCGTAATGTGAACAGCCACGGCCCTGTCACTGCCTCCGGTTTGGAAGCCTGCAAACCCAGAAAGGACGCTACATAAACAGGTGACACCTCTCTTCCTCATCAGGTACTGTGCCACTTGTCTGGACGCTCCCCATACTTGATAACGACCCCAATTAATGCTGGGGTAAAATTTACTTTGTGTAAGGGTTGGCTTCCATACCAAAGGCATTAAAAGACAGTGACAAACAAAACAGTAAGCAAGGCACAAGAACAGCATCTCGTAACAAAACCAAATCTTTTTCTGCATACAAGTTACTACCCAACCATGCAATGCAGGTCACAACACAAAGAAATAAGGTTCCAACAATGCAAAAGCGAAATGAAACAAATGCATGCAAGATTGCTCCCATACAAAATAAGTCCCTTATTCATTCCTATACATATAAACAAGCAAAAACACGCACAGTCCAGCCAGCAGCACTTTGACTTCCTTCGTCTGCGTGATATGCAAGCAGAGTGTTAAAATAAATGCAGGCTTCTAGAAATAACGAGCAAGCTTCTCTACAAACAGTTTCAAAAATTAATGCAGCTACTAAATAAACCTTGATTACACCATGCTTCAAACTACAGAGGCTACGAAATTATCTCTAGCTCTGACTAGTAAGCCTACACCTAACAACACCACATTGGGCCTCAGCAGAGGCATGATTCCAGGCTCCCTTTCTGTTTCGTAGGAACACAGGAAGCACTGAAGCTTCAATGCAGTCAGTGCAATCAACAAACACTGAATGAACTCTTGAAAGACTTGTTTTAAGCAGCACAGGCTCACACTGTGTCTGCCGAATTCACCTACAACCTAACCAGGTGCTAGCTGTTATCTGTTCGGCAACACAGACTGCCTCTCACAAACAAGCAGGCACAGTAGATGTGAATTAATGACCACAGGTTAATGTCATCATTAGCATAGTACCAAAGTGCAGGAACCCTAAAATTACAAGGCCCCTGTGTTTGTGTGAGACTGATGTACCTACTTTGTTTCACAAAAGTTTTGTACACAACAATTTGCCCTCACGCTTTGTGTTTGCTCAGACATCAACAGGTTTTTTTTTGGCAAGCTGGGATGCAACATTACCACCAGATGCACAACCACTGAACAGTGGAGTTTTCACACACATCACTGATCACACACACATACTGGGAGGGGGAAACCAGGGCTTGCAGAGCTCAGACAGCAGAAAGAGAGAGAGGAAGAGAAAGCTCGCTTTGGATTCATTCAGGTCTGCTTCCCTACCTTGGTCCACCTGAATAACGGTTTTACTTCGTTCAGGTGCAGCGTGGACGTTGTCTACAGAGAACGGGAAAGAGATGACAAGAGAAAGAAAGAGTGTCAGAAGCAAAAAAAGAATGAAGAGAAATCGGGGTTTCATAAACTTCTGTCGAGCATAACGGAGATTTCAGTGGGCTCTTGGAGGACCCGAAACGCTCGTCTGTTGTATATATATGGTGTCATTGCTGGACAACAGGAGCGTATGTGATTATTCATTACAATAAAACAAAATTATGTTGTGGTAGCTTTCAAAAAAAGGATGTGATTCAAGCACAAAAACTTAGAGGCAAAACTTGGAGGCAAACTTGGAAGGTGAATTTCAGCATCATGCTTGGGTCAATTTTACGTTCTTAAACTATCAAGACTGTAGGATTTTAAGTGGTTTAGGTGTTTCCCCCAATAACTAGAGCACCTGACATCTCAAGCATTCAACAAGCTCACGAACGATTCTTATATGTGGCATGAAAGGAGTGGATGAAGTCTTTGGAAAACTGCTTGATGGTCCATGTTGGAGCATGAAAACTTTTTCACATTCATACCTGCCACGACAAGCATTCCGTGATCAAGCTCACTTTGATCAATTGTTTCCAGCTTATCTCTTAATTTGCAATAAGAGCTAAGTGTTCCCAAACAACCCCAGGCAATCAAATTGGAAAAAATTTAAAACACACTGATGTACGTGTGTGGACATTGTTTTGGTTTTAGAGCTTTATGAGAGTTTTAGGTAGGTTGAATAAATACTCAAAGGGTAAGCATAGCCATCTCTGTGAATGCATCCTCGCTTGAAGATTGTGTCCACCGAAATTGAATAACAAAATGATTTCCGTTCCCCACGGCAAAATCGACAGCTACTGCCTCCAAGAGTCCACGAAACTGTTGAGAAAGAAACCATCCCACCGATCCAGCAGCCACAATCCATGCAACGATGGGATACAACAACCCAAAAGTGCAAAATTGACCAGTTGACAAAGACCACCACAGACAAGAATGGACACAGCACAACCACTCGACAATAAAAGAACTGGCACGCCATTCGATCAGCATCACAGCCTGAGCGTCAACACCTAGTGCAGCCAACTATTAGTACCCCTCATCATGAAGCGTGTGCCAACGTTTGAAACCACCTGCATGTGTTGGTGAATGTGTCTGTAGAATGAAGAGCACATGTATAGAGCAGTCACTTCTATTTACTGCGAGGCGAGGTTGGAAGGTCACCGCTGACGACGGTTTTGCACGAACGGATAAAGGAAGCTGTAGGGATATGGATTCTGCATTGGAAGAACAAAACACTTGATTGCACAGCACGCATTTCATACTTGAAAAAAGGAGTATGAAAGGTGGGAGGAGAAGACGAAGACCCACAGCTACAAAAGGTTGATAGCATGATGGATAGCAGAAAAGCCTGAGCCACGTTCATTGGAGTTGTTTGCACCTTTGCTGCGCGACAGCATTTGTTTGAACAGTTTGCATTACAAATTTTCCTGGCTTTCTTCCAGTATTTTAGCAAAATTCCTTAAGCAATGGTCTGTAGAAAAGTGTGTTACAGGACAACGGAAAAGTCTATAGTGGAGTAAGTTTTTCTATGAGAGGCCCTCCTATGAGGAGCAGTTATGTTCAAAGTTCACGAGTCGCTACGTGTTGTTATATTGTTTGGGACAAGACACTGTCACATGTCTTAGTAGCACCAAATAACAGGACTGACATGAATGTTCAGGCTAGGCTCTGACATGAATGTTCAGATTTTCTTTGCTGCTCCATGCAAATTGAGCAGTAATCCTTTCATATGACAACATTAGGTGCCACAGGTGGTCACATGCAGTGCCCACACAAGGCATGATACATAAGCTTTCAGATTCAACAGGCAGCTGATACTATAGGTAAACCAGATGAGGTTGCAAAATCTTAGGGAATACAGTCCAAGAATTGTTTGTGGCCATCAATGTCCAAATTAACTTCTATTTACTGTCATGTCCAGTTGAAACACACAAGACCATTTTTCTTTGTTTCAAACTTTACCATTTACACAAAAAGGAGGACTGTTGTAGAAATAACTTTTAGCAAATCTGTCGAATTCTCAGTTTATAGATTTGGCAAATTCTTGAGGCTTCAAGGCTTTCCTACTCTTTCCATGTTGATAGACGCCTTACACCAGACAAATACTGGATGCCTATTTAGTAACATTAATTGATGAGGTGTGTGATGCACCATCGGGTTCGAATGAAATGCAAATAATGACGGAACTTCGAGCCCACTATCGGAGCAGCTTCCAAGAATTGGTTGTGCTTGGAGAGGTTCAAACACATTGGAGTAGGACGCTGCGAGATTGTGCGTCCTACTCTGGTTTGTGTGAACCCCACCAAACACAACTCAAGCTTAGAAGCTGCACCGATAGTGGGCTTGCAGTTCTGTCACTGTTCGCATTTCATTTGAACCAGATAGTACAGTATGGTGTTGATGGTGGAAACTAATGGCTATGAGTATGATAAAAACTACTGCATTTCCCTTTTACACACATTGTATATTTCTACCGTAAGGTTCTCAGCCTTAGTTGGCTATAACTGCGCACCAATACCTCCTCATTAGTATGTATACAAAGCTCCTATTATCATTTACAGACTTTATCATATTTATTAACCTTCAAGGTCCTCAACAGGGACATTACATACTAATCTGTGCATTCCTTAAATAACAACTCAAGATGTTTTCTGGCCAATACAAAACCACATCGGGATAAATACAGTGTTCATGTAAAATACAAAAGCAGAATTCTTTGCTGAATATTATCCCAGCAAGTTTCTATTTTGATTCCAAAAACTAGAGAGGACACTTTCAACATGTGTACCACTAACTATCATTTTTAAATTAGATTTAAGTACTTTTATGCTAAGCATTAGATCTACATCTTTTTATTAGAAATAAATCGGGTCATTATTAGCAGACTGCCAAACCCATTGCAATACTGATGCAACGAGCTAGCAAGTGCCCAACGATGTATGCAAGAGCAGTGTGCATATTTACACAATCTACATGTTGCATCACAATGTGTGATTTTCATTATCGCTTTTCTCCCTTCAGTTTTATCTTCCACTATGCAAACTTCACAGAAGTGCATGTAAGCCTCTACCAATACACATTATTAGTAATGAACTGAATGAGCATTCTCTTTTCCATCAGCCTACATTAGTGCCCCATTCTCACTGCTCATAGATGTGGACGGAGTTTTTATTTTTTATAAACACCACATCAGCTTCACGCACCAGGTAACTATTGATGACATGAGATTTTGTATACCGTAGCATAGAAATTTGTAGATTAAGAAATATTATCTTAATTAACATGAAGAGCCCTCTACTACCCACTACCTGCAGCTCTAGTGTTTCCATGACATCCACGGAAGCAGACTCCAATGCCTCAAGCATAAAATAGAGATAGCGAGTGAACAGTGTGCCCACGTGTCAGCGTGAAAGGAAGAACAGCGTTATATCTTTGCTTATTGTTTTGAAAAGGAATAAAGCAGGTAAATGTTAGTTAGCCGTCCTTACCGCAAGGACAAAAATAAAACTGATCAGTGTTATAAGAACCATTTGTCCAACACTGCCGAGTGGCCGATATCACCAGCCTTGTTTTGCCGCATCTGCAACCACAAGATGAACCAACCCTTGACGTCGTCGTCCTCGATGGTGGTACTGCTGTCAGTGGATTCCTTGACTTGGGATCCCTCGCCCTTCTTCGTCATGATACTCCGACCTAGGGGCGACAGGGTTTTCCATTTAGCCAAGAAACACACCAATGCACATTCACGACTAGCATGTGTGAGAGCGAGAACCATCCTGTGTACACACTTTGAAGCACACTTTTTCTTTACGTTGTGCAGAATACATGGCATTTTCAAGTGGCCATTTCAGGATTAAAAGCGCTAAAAAAACGAGGACCAGTAAAAGAAGACACACACACAGTAGAGCACTGTGTGTGTGTGTGTGTCTTCTGCGCTCTACTGTGTGTGTGTCTTCTCACACTGGTCCTCGTTTTTTTAGCGCTTTTAATCCTGAAATGTACAACCAACTAGCCCGAGTGAATACCGTTTCAAGTGGTCACTTTTCTTGTTGGCTACAAAAATGTACTTTTTGTGCAGAATAACGAGAGAAACACAGCTAATGATGTTACCGTGCATTTGAATGCTGCTTCTTACAGGTGGATGCAACCTTACTTTATTATGTTTCTTGTGAATCTAGGTTCTTGAAAGGCTTGGTAAATACAAAACAACTATGCACTACTAGAGGTGGGCACTAAAAGTTTGATTGTCATTTTGAGTGGTGGCGTATTTGGCTTTAGGAAAAAAAAATCTCCTGAAACTTGGCAAAACACTAAAACTTGCCACCTGCTTTTTCTGATGCAAGATATAAAAAACACTGGTTGTGCCCTATCTAGCCTATTGTCAATTTTTATACATCACACGTGGGATGGCTGAGCATACTCCTCTACACATGCGTAGAATATTTTTCATATTTTAGGATATGCATGGACACGTATGTATGTTTGCAAATTCAGGACGGTAACCACGTTTTCAGGGCAGTGCTTTCAAGGTACTTTCAAGACGTTAAGAAAAATGTATACCATAAAATGCAGAGCAAGCCCCCACCCCAAAAAGACTGAGATAATCGTAAAAAAATGGGGATGGCTGCTTGTTAGGTTCTAGGGCAGAAAAGAAGAAGACACACTTGCTAGGGTGGGCCCTTGTTCGACCTAATGGAACATTATAGGAGCACTATAGGAATCGGGGAAAACCCCTCATTTTTAAAGCAGCTGTACCCCTCTTGTCAAGCTTGCCTCCTGCCAACGACCTCCCGTAAGGCTTCACCACTTTGCACTGACGCACGCTCGTAAAGCTTTACCGCCTTGCACCGGCTTCTCAGATAAGAAGCCCATTTGGAGGAAAGCCTTGGTTAGCTTGGTGGGCTCAGGAGTTTTTTGAAATGAGAGCTTGGTATGTCTGTTGCTTACATTTCGATTGTTTCAAAAGTATGCACCCTTGTCATTTATTGTGACATATGGGCGCATACTCTGCGTTTTATGGTAGGTATATAAATTTGGGGTTTCACAAAGAGGGTCTGCACAAGTCTGAAAAGGAATACTCTAAGTGAAGCCCTCCTCTGCGTTAATGTTTATGAATTACAGATAGATATAAGCAGAACCATATTCAAGAAACAAACAGCTGTCGAGAAAACATGATTAGAATCTCACACTTGACTGTTGTCACTTTTACGCAAGAACACTAACAATATTCTAGCAAGTATATGCTCCTTTTCTGCATGTGTGTTTGTGTGAGCTTTAGACAAACACTTTATCACTCTGTGCTACTTCAAGGGCAAGGAGTGAGCTGCTGCAAGAATGCAAACTAGACCCAGATGCATTTGATACAGACTGTCATCACTGTCACACCACTTCACTTGAGTGCAGACAAACAGCACCAGACTGCATCAAGATCGCATCATGCACCTTCTAAAGCATAATACTGGTCTGTTCGATCTGTTCTCAACAAGTAATGCTATGGATATCTCATGCTGATCTTGTAAATATCATGTTAAGATTTCCCTTCTATGGTCTAGTTCTAACTATGGTATACAAAGAAATCCTAGAAGATTGCTGTACCACACAGCCAAACAAAATTCTGTGTCAAAAGTTGCACTTGTGCTGCAGATCATATTAAAGGTGCTGGATGCGATCATGATGTCACATAATCTGTTAGGTCCCTGTATGCTTTTAGTCATATTTAGGTTTTCAAGCAAATGTACAAAGCTCTATAAAAAGTAACCCAACAAGCGTAATGTTTTAAATAAGTCCTTGACGTCATGACCTGGCAGTCTCACAGTAATTTAAGCATCATGCATGGTCAACACGTTCTTTATTCACACTACAGAGCTCATGACATGCATCTACAGTATGTAAAACAAATGCTTTGAACCAACTTTAGATGGTTCGCAAGAATTAGTTTCTCAATGTATCACGCTGCAATTTACTACAAAGGTGCAGCTATAATATAGGTGGTAGAAACTTGGAGTGAAAATATCAACACAATAAAGCTACCACGGTAAAAAAAGAAAAAAAACTGTTTTGGTCATAGCTGTAAAAACGAGACTAGGAATAGGGACAAGGGACAAAATCACAGAATGATATTCTGTGTTTTCTGTTGTTTTGTGTTTTCATCTCTTGTCCCTATCCCAAGTCTCAGGTTTACAACTATGCTCAAATTACACCAGCTAGCCTGCACCCTCCCCATTGCTTCACTACTGTTTTCGTCTATATCCAGAGGAATTTGCTGAAGACGACATAACTGTGCTCGCCTAGCTGTACCTGCAACCAATAGATGCCGGAAGCGTCGGGGGCGTGCTGCCGCTAAGCTTAGAAGACAATCTTCCGAAACATTTCACTATGCCGGCGGGTGTCTCTCTAATGTACAATTTTGAAAGTGCAATAATTAATTCATTAGAAAGAAAACAGGGACTGAAATTCCTCAAAGCTCCCCATTTTTGGTACGGGGGTGGTCAATCGAGGTGCCACATACTCCTGTGTCTCACGTAGCGTCATCCTTCGGCGGCATAAACAACTAGGTGAGCGCGGTCACAACGTCGTCTGCGAATGACCCGAAACAGGTGACCCGAAATGGGTTTTTCTTCTCTTCTTTGTTGAACAAGGCAAGTTCACCCGTTGATATTTTCACTCTTAGCTTCAACCACCTAGCCCCACCTCTAATAAATCGCTGCGCAATACGTTGAGAAATCGATTTGTGCAGACCGTCTAAAGTGAGTTCAAAGTGTTAGTGTACAGGCTGTACAAGCAACAAACATGCAATAGAGGCTCAACTAAAGCCTTGGAAAAGCTCAATTATCAGACAAAAGAAAGCTTGTACCATGCATTCATCATTCAACCTTTTCACATTGATTATTCATGCAAGATGTTTATTCTTTTCAGCTTTCTTGCAGACATATTACTAACCCATACTATAATGAGGTGCATTTTCCCTCAATACAACAGAAGCAGATAAAATTGCCTTGACTTTGACCTGGTGCTTGAGAGAAAAGAAAAACATGTTTTTCTCACAGCAAAAAGAAACTATGCATTTCCGAAGATTCAGCCTCTGTCCAAAAATGGAGCTAGTGGCAGGTACCAAATATCAAAGTTTCAGGAACTAACATTATCTGGTTCAAAAGTTAAACAATGCTATCATGGATGGATGGATAGATGGATGTAACTGGCAATGGGCAGTAGCTTGCACTGCCTAGCCTCAGTCTTCCTAGGCAATCTTCAATGCAAACAAGGAGGCCAACAAAGCCAGCAAATACGTTGCACCTGCCTCTGAGAAGGGACCCCGTTTTCTTGTTGAAAATTTCCAAAAATTGCTCGTAATTTTTTAATCAGATATTGCTAAGTTCTGAAACTTTGCAATCTGGTCCCAAGCGCTGAGTATGCATACCGTATTTTCCGGGCTAGAGTCCGCGGACTATACATGTTTAAAAGTTGAAATTTCTGACTGTGCGGACTATCTACGCGTGCGGACTATACAGGAATGATGTTTTTCAAGATTGTTTATTATGACGAGACGTGACGAATTTTGTGCACAAAAGTGTATGTTAATGATGATTTATGCACATTATAGGCTTTACTGTGAGCTAAAATGCAGACATTTGTAAACGTGTGCCGCGTACGAGAAGAATTTCGTGTCGACTAAGCACCAGGTGCGGACTATGCAGCGGGTGCGGACTGTCTAAGCAAAAACTTTCATTTTTGACCCCAAATTTCCCCCTGCGGACTATACACCGGGTGCGGACTATAGTCCGGAAAATACGGTAGTTTATTTCTGGCATCAAAAAAAATGTGGCTCTATTTTTTCTCAAACACCTTACACATTACATTGGTTGGTGGCCAAATCAAAAGCAGCTTAATTAAATGTCGTACTAAGACATGGACATGGCTGTTAATCACACTAGTCAGTTAGCCTCGGATAATCTCGTCCGGCAAATGAAACCCAACAAAAATGGATTGAACAAACCCTATCAGATTAATTAGCAAATTTTTTATGCCATAAAAAAACATGATTTCTACATAAATCTAGAGTAAGCGTGCAGACAAGAACATCACACAGAGAGACGAGAAACCGTGACAAAGCAGACAGTTGCAGAAAGAACAGCCTTGAACATGCATAGCTCAAGCATAGTGAAGGAGGAGAGCAGTTTAGTTGCTGTATTAGTCTAGTGTGTGGATGATAGCTGACCAACATAAATCTGTCTGTGGTAAATCAAAACGAAGGGATGAACAACCTCTCTGCTTTCTTTTTGCCAGAGGGTGAGTCAAAATGTATGAAAATGGAACTGAAGAGCAATCTGAAGAAAATAATGAATCAACCCTTAAATAAATAGTAAAAGCTACAAAAAGATTTTCCTTTTGTCATCTTCGGTGAAATGGCTTTTAAATTAAACACAACAAAGCAATCTTGCTGAAGGATGCAGCTGAAGGGCTAGGACCAAAGGAGGTTTACAGTCCTTGAAATCACACCACCGAGGGACACACGAGGGTAACAGGATTATTGCACACCTGACATTTCGAGCAGACTGAATTTAATCAATCATTTTAAAGAGACAAACACAAAATTGTTTGTCTCTCAAAACTGCACTCTTTAGGTATCTGCCACTGTCACTCTCAGCCCTTCGGTGGTGATTGTCAAAGGCCGAAATTCTGCCACTCATTCTTCCACAAAATCAACTTGAAGATTTTTCCGTCAAAATGAAAGAACAATTAAAAAAAAAACTGATAAATGTTATTAAAAAAAAAAAGCAAAAATGTCAAAAGAAGCTCATGAAGATGGAATGATGCTTTTACCTGTATTCGGAGTAGTAACATGACCTGCAGGTAGAGCATGAAAAGCGTAAACAAAGATAAAGGTAAAAAATGTCTCATGCTTTGCTGCCCCTCCCTTTGTTACCAAGTGCCGACTCAAGGACATGCCCTGAAACCTTAAACCAGAAGAAATGAAGACAGACTTTCATAGAGAAGTCTGACGAACAATGAACAATCTTGTGTAATGCACATCACAGTCACCCTGAATACATAATCAGTGCTCACTTTCATTTGGCTGGTACAGATATGTATGGGGATGAAACCTTACTGCCTAAATTTATGTTGCAGTTATGCCCATTCAGCTATACTTAAAGTTTTAATATAACCTTTTAGAAATGCAAGAAAGTGGCAGTCAAGCATTTGGGGCAAGTGTGTTGTGCAGAGTACTTTTCCTACAGAAACAGTCTGACATGAAAGTGCAGGAGTAACAAAGCATTATGCTTTAGAAAGCTTTTCCAGACGCTGATACAAAAACCTTTCCCCCCCCTACATACATCACACTACGAACAAATAGGAAACAAAAAGTCATGTAGATGCAAATATGCACTTTCATACCAGGTAGCTCCCTCAAAAGAAAAAACAAACATATTGCTTCAGTGTTTTCTGAAGGAAAAGCAGTATGAAAATCCAGCAAGCGAAACAAGAGCATAGTAGTAGCGAGAAAATCAGTGAGGGAAAGACAACAGAAGAGCATGTTGAAGACACAAAACATTCCCAAGTAGCTCTGAAGATGCTCTAGAACACATAAAAGCCACTCTCTCAAGGGCTCTTGACTGCATTACCTTATCAACGGAGAAGCTTCAATGCAACAACAGAGATTTCGTAAGTGAAAGACAAACAAAGAACAGTTGCCATGCAATAAGTTTGCACACATACAGATGCTACAGAAAGAGTGCAAAGCAAAAATGGGCGACGACATGTAGGCCTTGTTCCCTGCAAGTGGGTTTTCAGTTATGCCTATTAGGCCTTCTATCTACCTCTGCAAAAGAGAGACAAGCACAAAAATATCTCGGTCCATACACGGGCTTGGTCGACAGTCTCCAACTCCCCAATGGTCCGCGCCAAATTCAGCGTTGCTCCTTGTTGCTGTTATACACTGCTTGATGCTGTTACTTGCTGAATGGCTCAAGTTCTTCTAGATCAGACTCGGCCCACAAGAGACTTTGTACACAGACGAGTTTGCCAGAAGAAAGCAGACCCAGATAAGGTTCGATAAGGTCCCCATTCCATTGTTCGAAAGCCTCGATATCAGCCACTTTGACAAGCGTAAGGGAGCGAGATTGCTTTTCAAGGACCTTTGGAGGCCTGGTGCATGCGTGCAAAAACACTTACTTGAAAAGTTGCGGGTTGCCAGCATGGTTGTCAAAATCGCTCCCTAGAAAAAGGCAAGGGTGGCACTTTTAAATGAGAAAACGTGTGTCAGTAAGCTGGCTCAATTGTGATCGATAAAAAGAAACCACAAAACAAAAGTGACCACACTTGAGGTAGCATTGTCACGAATTCACCATATTTCCTCAAATCATAGCAGAAACCTGCCCAGATATTGGAAACTCCCGCGAGTTTCTACAGAATGGATGAAACAAATAATGAAGCTAAAAAAATGCCTGTTCCATAAAATCCAAACTTTATTGAATTGAAGCATACTATATGGTATCAGCACAGATATATATTTTTTTATATAATCTATTCAGTAGGCTCTTTTATAATATAGATTGCTACAATAGGTCTGTACGACCTTCGGGCCTTCCTTATGGAGGATGTAGCTATGAGTTGAGTACATGCGGTATACAACTAACCAACAGCAAGGTATAACTTGGATAAAACCTCTTTCCGAGAAATATGTAGAAGATACTGCCGTAAAGACATGTCACACAAGTGTACATGTGCAATAGTGATTCTCACAACAGGGTTATTCCATCACAGACATGCTCTGCACCACACAAGGCGCTCCTTTCTCCCCATTGGGACCACAAAGGGTGGCCCATGCCACCAAAAGTTGAATTCATTAAGAACTACTCGAATAAGCTATGTTGCATGAACAGCACGCTTCGTGGGTGCGCCGTAATGTCACTTCGCATCTCCCTTTCAAAGGGTTTTGTAACTCCCAAATGTTCTACATGCTAACTGGCAACTTTTAGTTGCCAGTTAGCGCTTGTCCTGTCAGCTTTTCGTCTTTTTGTCCCGTCTTTTTTGTGCTATTTTTAATATGAATGTCAATTACCAACTTGCCCTGCAGACCAAGCTTCTACAGTACAAACTGGGCGTTTTTAGACTGTTGTAAAATGCTGCCGCTGCATTATATCTTTCTAAAAAGAGTTGATTTAGTGGTTTTCGATGATGCTTAGCAAGTTTCTCGGTGGAACCATATGTCAATTTTCACTAATTAAAAATTAATTAGTAAATTTAAGATAATTATTTTGCTAATTAATATTTTGTTTTTACCTTTGACGTTTGCCGAGGTTGCTAATTTGTCCCCGCAAAGATTTTTTTCCTCATCTCGAATAGCATATTTCTTGGGATTTATGAAAGCTTTTGCAGAAACACCCTGTATATATTTTGCTCTCTCCTCGATCCCCACTTCCTAGCATATCTGCTCGAGGCAAAATACAAAATCAAAACACTATACCATTATGCAAGGAATTTTCCTAATGCACTCATTTTGCAACACTTATGCTAGTAAAATTTCATTACTTGTCTTGTCACTAAACTTAGAAATAATAAAAGAGAACAAAAACAAAGCTCTGTTAGCACTTTAGACATTTTCTGACCGCAATCTTCACACTAAAACCATCAGTGACAATCCAACGGCACCCTGTCTCAAGGCCCTAAGTGCACTCTGCCTTCTGCAGAATGACCGCGCACAAATATATTTCTTGTTGACCAAGATTTCCCCATAACATCGTGTTCACAGCTCTCTGGTTGAAGAAAATAAAAGATTATTTTCCTTGTTTGCATATAGCTCTGTAAATATCTCACTTTTATACACTATATGATAGGATATCTGAAAGTGGATGCCTAATAAGTGAAACATTTGTATAACTGTAACTTCTCAATACATTTGTTGGAGTCGCCACCTTCTCAAAATGGCCCTCTGTCTTCCGATAAGGGAACTTCTGAGTGGTACAGTTTTGCTGGTCCCTTAGAGTTTCATATAAAAAAATGCTACTTTAGGGGGAAAATGTAGGGCTTATGATATTTACAATTAAACTTATTTAATACAGCTCACTGACATTCTTTGTGGACCTAGAGCGCAAAGCATGGCAAAGTTAGTGCAAATTAACAATCGCCGTTTTTTCATGTTTTTCGCTTTGAGCTGAAAGAATGTCGTTAAACATTGTACTGCTCTGGCAGAAAATGTTCATTCAGGAAGAGCACTGTCCTAAGTGGTGAAATTTGGTACTTGTCAATCCCCCATAAAGAAAACGCGAAAAAGCGCCGATATCATATTCCTATCAACTGTGCCGTGCGGTAGGTTCAAAGAGGATTCATAACTATATATCCCACCTCACCCTTCTGTGATCACCCCTATGCTGGTTTGAGGAGGAAATAATGTAGGTCAAGATTTAAGCAGAGGGGAATGATAGATGAATACCGTAGAGAGGACGAGGGGATATATAACGTATAGCACTCATTCTGATCAGGTAGGTGACATCCGAAAGCATACATGCCTCCCCTGCCCACCGATCGAAAGGTTATTCATTCCTAGATGCCCAGCCCATAATGGTGAGTCAGTCACTCTACCGGCAAACTCTGCCTATCAATACAACCTGCCACCACTAATCAAGCTCGCAATCATCTTGCTTATCGTACATTTCAAGCCCTGCCGTGCAAGCGATACCATCGAGCCCCTCGACCTTTGGAGAAAAAAGGCACGCTGACACATGCAGCACCGCACTAAGCCAGCGCCACGGACGTATAGCGTAGACTTGGTGCTACAGAAGGCCAAGTTTCGGCGCTCCGCCGGACGAGACCAGGCCTTTTCCTGTTCACACACACGACGCTGTGCCAACTTGACATTGAGTCGCACAGACAGCAGCACCGATGAAGTGCTAGCTTTGCACCATCTCAGCACCAGAATGCGTGTCTGCGCCGAAGGGCACTCCCACGACGGTGGTCAATCGGATAGGCAAAGCTGCTCACCTTGAGTTTACGCCGAGCATTGAACTTCTTCAAGCAGTCCACGGTCTCCTGGCGGTGCAGAGTGGAGGCAACACGCTCCCGTTGCTGCAGTGGAGAGGGAAAAGGGGCAAGGAGGAAAGAAGACACGTGAGTGGCTGCACGCAAACGTGCGCCTCCCAGCGCGCGGGCGCTGTGGCGTCTTTCCGGCGGGGCAACTTACGCAGATCCAGGGGTGCTTCAAGGCCTCTGCCGCGGTTATCCTCTTGGCTGGGTTGACAGTCAGCATGCTGTTGATGAGATTCTTGGCCTCCGGAGTGACCGTGTCCCACTCTGGGGACGGATACTGCACCCCGAGCACACGCGGTTGAAAGCATGTCAATGATGGTAAAGAAAAAACAGTCATGCTGGAACAGCACTTAGGGTCTTAATTTATACTGGACGATTTTATTAGACCTCATTTCTTTGTTACCGCTCCCTCTTTATATACTCGAGTGAAATACCTTCGGAAAAAGCTGCAGTAAGGCCAAATATCTTTTGCCACTTTATGCAAGCAGAAATATTTATTGCAAGATGCTGGCTGCTCGTCTACAAACCATAAACTTGGTGCAGAGTTACAATGTTCCCTATGTGTCTACTACAGTGACTTCAGTAGGAATAAGGGTATGGGGATGAACAAGTTGCACTGCATTTGTTTGTCACGCCACTACTTACAGTTGCCAATTCACCAGAAAACTGAACATTGTTTCAATTATGTTTTTATAAGGAAGCTTGTAAAGCGCACTATCGTAAAATCCCGAGAGATGCCCCACCCCCAAAAGATAACCTACCTCTATTTTTGGCATGATTAGTTATCTCTTCAAAAACACCTAAAGATAGCCCTCTTAGAGTAATTGCAGGGCCCTGGACTAGGGTGGCCTCAGCAGAAATAGCGTTACTTAGCCACAGCGGGAGATAGACTAACATCGCTGACTGGAAAGGACTGTCGTCTTTAGTCCACTGCCCCTCCCTGCAATTACAAGTTTCGCAAATCACAAAATCTAAAAGTAGCCTTTTTTTTTTTTTACTGCATGCCCAAAAGTTAATTTACTTCTTATTTTCATTTGATTTGCTTTCGATTTTAGATGGGGCTATGTACCAAGATATTACGGTAGGTTTTGTTCAGAATAGGGGATAAAGTAATTGACGGGGACTCACGTCATAAGCTCCGGCCTTGATTTGCATATATAACCTATGTTGATCTTCATCCCAGAAAGGTGGGTAGCCCACTAGCAAGATGTAGAGTATGACTCCTGCATACAAATTTTGTCCGGTGTCAAAAAGCGATCCTTGAGTAAGCATTAAAAAAAACAAAAAAAAACTAATGAACCACATTCTGCAAGCGGATGGCTTACCACAAGCCCAAATGTCTACAGGTTTACCATAGGGATCCTTCTTCAACACTTCTGGGGATAGATAACCTGGTGTGCCGGCAAAACCTGTGGTTTCAAAGAGGAGTGGTTATTTTTCTGGTAGCACTGTTACAGCTAGCTTTAAGAGTGTCCTTAGCAGGTCAGTATACTTAAAATACAGCCCTGCCAGAGGTCTGACCAGAGTTGGCAGTACCAAGAAATTAGTAAAGAAAGGCAGCACTCACCATACCAGGCCTGCTGTTCTCCTTGAACTTCAATAGCCAGTCCGAAATCTGCCAATTTGACAGCAGCACCTTTGGCTTTACTGGCCAACAACAGGTTCTCAGGCTGAAATGAAATGGTCAAGAAAGGACTGCACTCAAAAAACGGTTGTGCAGAGATCTCTGTACTGAGGTATCATCGGCCACAAAGTTCTAATATGTGCAGGATGGTTCACAGAACGCAGGAAAAGTGTCTCCTATGAAAACTATGCACCGCAGCAAGTTTAGTATGGAGGTGCACAGCGTGCTGGATAATCCAGTGTTTAATTATTAATTACAAAATATTTAATTTTAATTTAGCAAAGATACAAGTAGAATGTGCATTACAGACCTTCCTGGCACCATCGAATTATGCTGAAGAAGTTATACTTCTAGAAATATTTAATGCCTGTGCAACTCTTTAGGGTAATCCTAAAACTCTAAACTTGAATGAGGCATCACAGTTTTTGTGGTTTATTTTGTAGGCTGACAGCAAAATGTAGCCATTGGTATGCACCTCTAATGTTTTAAGTTCCTACTGGCTTTTGCTGCTGATGCAGTCAGCAGGAACCCAAGACCTTGCCAATGCATTCAGATTGTTTCGTTTCTGGTGTGTGTATGTGTAGAGAGGGGGGGGGGGGGGGGATAAAGGCAACTGCTGCACGCACTTTAAATCCTTCCAAGAATAGACTTATTTAGTTGTTCTTGACGATGCCCAGCTGGTTTTTAATTGAAACTATATATTTATTTTCACTATAACTGCAAGTAAATTTTACCACCCAGACAAAAAATGCCATATAACTGGGCAGTGGATGTATGCATGGCTTTGGGCATACCAGATGACTGACACTGTGCATGCCCAGAATGCATTTCACAGCTCAGTGGACAAAGATGTCAGTGCACTGAGGGGGATCTTTGGAATGGAGTAAGAATAACTCCTTTGCCAGCAACCGACACGACATTGAATCACTCTTCAGGGCAACACACGGTTTTTACTGTAGTTTTTGCCTTTATTTTGCGAAACATCCTGTATATGGCTGTTCACTGTGCAACACAGCACAAACATGACACATGCACTTTTTTTGCATTTTATACCAACAGACTCGGTACGGGCGAGCATGAGATTTTGCTTAGTTAATTTGCTGAATGAACACTTTCCCTTGCACTAGTAGTTTTGACAACAGCCTTTTGATTCTGACAGAAGAAGAGGAAAAACTGCATATTGCTCGTTTGTACTGTGTTGTGCTCTGTACGTATGTAACAATATTTGCTATTGTGTTATTACAAGTGTTTTTTTTTTAGGCAGAATATATTCTTGGACTGGAGAAAACGAGTTTGTGGAAGACCTTTCTGGAACTACCTAATCCATAGGCTAACTACTGCCTTGCTGACACATTCATCCCCCGCGTATCAGGCACTACCTAAACAAATCTTCAAATTAGCTGAATAAACACAATCAAGGGTCTCTCACCCTGACTCAATTAATCTTACACATCTTTCTTCAAACAATCTAAGCAGCAGGGAAGCTGTACTTCTGAGGAAACTCCATTTATCACTTTGCATTCATGTTGTCACATTGGGCACATATATTCACTTACCTTAAGATCTCTGTGGACCACATTGTTCATATGACAGTGGTTAACACTTTCCAGAATTTGTTGAATGCAGTGGCTAAAAGAATGAAAACACACAGCTGATCACTGAAGGGTACATTGCTTTATTGCTCATCTCAGCATATGTCAGTGGCCAATATTTATTGCCCACTGACATAGTCACCTATTCAGAACTACTTGCACCATTGTAGTTACTTGCAGTATGAAACAATTAAATACACAAAATCAGGGCAATGTCATGCTGCTTATCAACTTCAGCTAGTCTGAAGTTTTCTAGGAAGAAAGAAAAAGCATGAGATTACAAAAGGGCATGGTCCTGCAAAGTACGCAATAACCTCATATAAACAGACTCCTTACATTTACAAAAATAATTTTGCAAACATAGCATTTATAATATCGCGGCACTGCAGTGTGCTCATTAGTCAAAAATCGACACAACTGATGGTCTCTTTCTAATCCGAGGTTGAAGGATTTCAAAGAAACACCTCGAATCCAATAAAAATAAAATTAAAAAAAAACTTGTACAATTCGCGCGTGCGGCAGCGATTTCTGCAAAACACGCATACGCACTTTCTGCGGAAATCTCTCCATCTAGAAATTCGAAGAATCGTTCACGCGCGGTCGTCCCGTCAAGCCGCTTCCCCGCAATGAAGCGGAGCGTTTCGCGAAGCACCCTTTACAGGGGAACGGACGCCCGAACGCCGTACGTGGGTTTTCTCCGATGTCGAGTTGTCCGCGGCTCCCACTAAACGCTCGAAAGAAGAAAAAAAAAAAAAAAAAAAAAAAAGTAATCTGAGCTATAACTTAAGCTGTATTCCAAAACTTACTCGAGTGAGCTCAAATGACTCTGGCGGGTCAAATCACATGAAAACAGACAGCACAGATATCGTGAAGACACGCAGGCTGGAAACCAAGTAGGTTTTCGAACGTCAAGGTACAAATGTAGATGTTTGGGTACCTCTCTAGAGTACACCCTGGAGAGGTACACAAACATGTACATTTTGAAACACTGCCGTAGTGCTGAACCTAAAATGCCCCCTCTTTCGTCTACGAATTTCAGGTGCTCGACATGATTTTTGATTATTTTGCGCCGTGAACACTGGTTGGTATTGCTACATCCGTGGTAGATAGCTAACATATCGCGGACATCAAACGTTCAACAGTCGATCAAACAGAAATCACTCAAATTCAATAGAACGTCGAGCACGTAACTGGCTGCCACCGACAGTGAGGTAGCTAATGTTAAGATTTACCTCGCATCTGCTTCGCTGTAGTATTCTCTAGCGACGATGTCCTCAAAGAGTTCTCCACCAGTGACACTGGAAAGGGCAAAGACACAAGCAGAAATGCATAGTTTTGCGCTCATCGCTTCGCAGTCTTAGTCATAAACGTGGATGGAAAGAGACAAAACTCACAGGTCGAAAATTAGATAGTGGTAGCCCTCCTCTTGTATACTGTCATGAAGCCGCACTGCAAAGAGAACAAACACGGATGCACTGAGTAATGAGCGATGCACGCAAAGATAAAACCTTGCGCGACAAATGAGAACCGGCAAACCGACTTCACGAAGTAGCCAGCCGACAGAACAAACCAGGTACGTCCTCCGGCACACGTCGGTCTCGCAGAACGATGAACTAATTAAGAAGCTAACAATACTGGTCAAGTTAAAGACACAGACGCGCTCGAGTATATACACTTCAAAGGTGACACACATTTGCATTTGAGTAAGCTCGAGCGCGTTACGTGTCCTCTTGTAGCCGCTTACGATGGATGAATGGATGGATGAACACGGCTGAACCCTTTTAATCGGGCGGCGACTTGGGCCACCTAAACAAAGCTTCCAAGTACAACAATTAACTAATCTCCGCTTAAATTCTGATTTAATCGAGAAGGGCGAGGAATTCTATATCGCCGCTAAGCACAAGCGTTCATCCACTCTTCTCCACGACCGAAAGTTACAATCCGTGCGACGGTGGACTAGAGAAAGCCTAGATTGTCAAGAGGGTCGGTCTCGAACCATGGGGAGAGTTTGCAATGGACCTTTTTCCAGTAAGCGTCTGCGCACGCGCACACCCTTTCCACTTGACCTTGACCGCCCTTTCGCCATTTTTGGGGGGGCACTGTTTTCTTGCGACACTAATCTGTTCCTATGGGAGAAGGCGAGTCCGGTTGCCCTCCATTTGTAGTTGGCGGCGAAACCGTCATGGGGCACTCCTTACTGGAAAAAGGTCCATTTAATGGCTGACGCCTCCCGCACCGATGGGTCTCAAGTGCGCATGCGCTGCATTGTTGCGTGGCAAGGAGGAAAACAGGCGAAAAGGCCGACACGGTCGCAGACGACCTACGCGTTCGTTCCCTCCTCCCAGCTCGTGTTGCAACGGGGTCACACTGTCCGCAAACCACGTGACCCCGATCCAGCAGTTGGAAACTCTGTAATACTGGGACACTAACGTCATCTATCAGCTCTCTGTTACGACACTCGGACACTAGCGCCATCTATCAGGTAGATTTTAAAACTTACGATCTGCGTGTACAATTGTACGGCTTTTTTATTTATGCGTCATTCCTTCATCGCTAACTTTAAAGAATTCCGAAAATGTTCTAAGCGACCATTTTTAATAGATATCGCATTGATTTAATCTCGCAAATACAAAAAAATACAAAAAAAACTCCACTCTATACAGTATTTTAATATTTACAAGTCCTCAGCCCAGAACGCGCCATACGCACGAACACTAAAAATTGAAACGGCCAGGAGCTCTTTCTTTTTTTTTTTTGCGCGCGTGCACAGCGTTGAACGGCGCTCAAGGTGCGCAAGCGCACGTGCGCACATAGCTTAGCCGCATAGCCACATAAAGTTGCCAAGTATCTCGGAGGCTGCGTCTCTGTCTGGTTATACGCAGTTCCCCGGCTACTTGATAGATGGCGCCAGCGGGCCAGTGATGTTTCGTCGTACGCGGTTTTGCAGCTGCTTAGGACCGGAGACGCTTAAAAACCGGCTAAAGTCTCTCGACACTGCTTACGACCAGCTACTGCTTAAAACTCGGTTGTGGCGCCGTCGGTCGTGGTCAAACGCAAAATGTGCGAACCAGCCTTCGCAGTACGCGTGACGGTGTCACACGTCGAGACGGTGTGTGACACCGTCTGGACGGCAGTTTCCACATCCAAAGTGCAAGAGGCACGCCGGAGTCATAAACCAAATAAGAGCCAGAGCTGCCCGCTCTCTGTGGGAATTTACGACCCGTGCGGTCTCGTGATTGGAGAATCTAGCGATTGCGAAACTTTCTGCTCGTCGCACAACCTGCCATAGCCGTTAGTCACACCCTCCCCGGTATCCCTGAATTCCGCCGTTGACCGAACTACTCCGATAAATTCCAAGGAGTACGGTTGACATCAAATAATGCCGAGCCATTCAATTCGTACAGTTCAGTATTTTTAAAAACCGCGCGCGCGCGACCGCACGCGACCACCGCTCAGGTCCCTTCTGCTCTTCGCGTTTATTTCTGACGTGAGCACATTTACGTATATCCAGAACCCGCGTAGTTCACATTTTTTTAAACAGAATCAATACCGTAAATTAGAAAAAAAAAAAACAAAAAAAAACACGTGCGACCTGTCTGTTTTTTCTGTTACTTCTGCTCTTCTAAAAAAACCCCAGTCTCAGGGTAAACGACGAAATTGTTGACTTCCACCAGCTAGCCTGTACTTTGACTCTTTTCACGTGATTCTTGTTCATTTAATATGCCGACTGGCTAGAGAAAAAAAAAAGGGGGTGCACAAAGGGAATATTGGTTAGTATCGAACTTACAAAAATAACTGACAGCTCTGAAAAAAAAAAAAAAAAAAAAGAAATTTCGCCACACCAATGTTTTTTTTTGTTTTTTTTTTGTCGCCGCTAACTTTTATGCAAAAAAAAAAAAAAAAGAAAACGGGCGATTGCTAGTCCGAGTGACGCGCTGTGTACCTCGCGCTGGCCCTTGGTAGTTCAAAGTAAAAGTTTTGTTCGCTCCATACTATAGCGTGAAGCGAACATCGATGCATCGCTGTACCGATGCTCAAAAAGAAACGTCGAAAAAGACAAAACACGCGCAGTGATGGTTGCAGATAGTAGCGAGTTTTTTGTAGGTCGTTCCGATACCTCCGATAACGATACCCGATAACTGGGGTTTCGTGTCTACAGATAAATCCGAAAGACTCCCAAAAACACATGCCGGTAAAATTTTCGCCAATCCGAATTTATCCCAGAAACTGCGAATTTCAATGCACCAATGCCCAAAAAAAGAAAGGGAAAAGAAACAGCATTTTATACTTATACTTATAGGTCCTAAAAAAGTATCCCCCCTGTTGTTGTTGTTCTGATTTTGGACTATCGACAAAATGGACCTCACCACTCATCTCGTGAAGGTTCATTCAGGAAAAAGGGTCACTACACGTTTGAGTCGCGATAAAATCCACTAGTTTCCAGTTTGGGCCACACGTTATTTCTGACTGTTAGAGGAACGAGGCGTCGTGTTTTCGTAATAGTAAAAGCTATGAACCATAGATATTTCGTAGGAAGGGTAAAGGTGGTGGGCAGTTGAAGCTTCTATATTCCTCCCTTTGACACTCAGCCCCGAGCAGGCGCGGGGTACAGGTTGGTGGATAGGAAGGGATGAATACGAGCTTCCCAGCGACTACCTCCGGCAGCTCATCGGTTTTAATTCATCGACGTTCATCTAAGCAACACTTGTTCGCAACTTTTGTCGCGGGACAAATCACTATTGCCAACGGCAATGGCGCCAACGCCAAACCCAGCTGAAGAAATATTAATCGATGCATGCGCGTTCTTTCTTTAATCTAGAAAACATTAACACATTAAAAGGCAGGAAACGCTGCAAAATTAAGCTCCAAGGTTCGAAAAATTGTAAATTGAAAAAAAAAAAAAAAAAAAAAAAAAAAAAAAAAAAAAAAAAACTCCAATGAACTCTCAATTTTCGTTTAAAAAAAAAAAAAATTATTTCGGAAAAACAGCCTCCGAATTTAACGAAAAATAAACACCGACGGAACACGGAATCCTACCGGTAACCATACGATGCAAGCCCAAGGGCGTCGAGAGACTATCGTTATCGGAGTTGTCATCGGAACGATTTATTAACACTCCCTAATGTTGATCGCCCTTCGAGAGTGGTGGTAGCGGAAAGGGTCGGAGAAGGCACATATCCATGCGCAGATGCTTACTGGAAAAGCTCCATTTCGACTTCCTTGAAGGGCAACCAAAATCTTCTCCGTCAGATTGCGGGTACCTCGGCCGGGATTCAAACCCGTCAACCGGGGTCCCGTAGGCCGGCGCTTTGCCTAGGAATGCACTGAGGCAACCAAACCAACACCTCCAAGGAAAAGAAAAAAAAAAAAAAGCCTGAATTTTCACGTTATTCTAAGGAGGCGAACGTGGATCAGCGCTCGGCCGAGACGTGTCGGCCGAATGCTCGCGCAACAATCGTCTCCAATCCGTGCCCCACATTCGCCTACTTAAGGTGACGTTAAAAAGTCAGCGTTAAGGCCTAATCGCCTAGGTGGTGTCGGCCAGGCCCTCAGTAGGTAACGTGAAAATAAATTCCTTACTGCCGATTCCTGTCTATAGGTGGTGTTGGCACGCCAGGGTGCGACTATAATTCGTGTCATCCTACGTAAGGCTAAAGCCACGGGCCGCCAGGTACAATCACAATTCCACGCTAACCATGACATAGGATGTCTGAAGTCACCAAGCTCGATCTAAAATGGAGCGTAAAAATTGACACCTGCACGAAGCAATCTGAACTTTTTGTCGAAAATGTATTTCACAGGTCCGTTTTTTGCTCGTAGAATTAGAAAGCGTAGCTCCCTTTCTGAAAAAATTGGGGCCAAAAATCTTGCCAGGATAACAACGGCGGGCGGCGACGCAGACGACCGAGTCGAGTGGCGGGACGCGTTTGGCGCACGTTTTGATAGATCGAACTACCTCCTTATCGAGACGGCTCGCAACGAACGACGAGGAAAATCTTTTCGTAGTGTACCATTGGTTTAAAAATTAATGCGGACAATAAAAACAAAACTTGAAGTTAAAAAAAAAAAAAGCAGTTGCATAACGACGCCGTTTTTGCTGCCGACGGATTTCGTCTGCGTGTCGTCTGCTTTCATTCGCTAGTCGGCTGCACCTTCCGACACTGCTCCCAACGCCATCTATCAATGCGCGCGCAAATCGCACCCCGCCGCTCGACTCAGTCATCTGCATCGCCGCCCACTGTTAACTCTGGCCACTTTCTGGCCCTATTTTTTGTTTTTTTTTTTTTTTTTTCACAAAAAGGAAGATACGTTTTGTAATTTTACAAGAAAAAAAAAAAAAAAAAAACGGATTTGTAAAATCTATCTTTGGCGAAAAGTTAAAATTTATCGTGCAGGCGTCGATTTTTACGGTCCATTTTAGATCGAGCCTGGTGACTATACAGACACCC